CAAGTCAAGTGCGTCTTCAAATTATTTTGGGGAGACCTTCAACGATACGATTTGCGGGGAACACCGGTCCTTCGCAACATTTGGGGGTTTACGGAAATAGGGGTAGCTGGGGGATCCTATAATAAGGGTTTTTGTATTTGGGGGTATATCAGGGGTACCCCTACTTTGGGAAATGCCCTTTTGGAGCACACCCCTGCGACCAAAATCACAAGCAAACCTCCTAGACCCCGCGGCCCCGCTTCGAGTCACCAGCCCATTTTTCTAATACCATCCAAGCCCACAGGCCAATAGGACGGCATGAGACCTCCAGCCCCCCAAAGATCCTGGACCCTGAAACTCAAGAAGCACCCCCAAAACCCTAAACCCTAAATCATATCCAATGGATCGAAGCCATGAGTTCGGCGTCTTAGACAGTTTCCCGGCCGAGCTGCCCGAGGCAGTGGGCAGCTGGGTGTCCACCGCGTTTTCGTAGTGGATTCCGGCTGCTGCGCGAGGAAGCGCTCCCTGTCGCGGCGGGGGGGGGGTGGGGGGTGGGGGGTGGGGGGGGTGGGGAGGTGGTAGGTTTAAGGTTGGAGGGCTTATTTATGTGTTTGGGGGGCTTCTTCGTGAGACTCAGAGCTCCTTTGCTGCTTGCTGGCAGGGCTGGTGGCACTCTTCGAGCTGCTGGGCAATGGGGGGCCTGCCATAGGGGCCCTGCCAGGGTCTGCATTCCCAGACCGGCTTCTTGTACCAGCGCAATTTAGAGTTTAGGGTTTAGGGTTTAGGGTTCAGGGTTTAGGGTTTAGGGTTTAGGGTTTAGGGTTCAGGGTTCAGGGTTCAGGGTTTAGGGTTTAGGGTTTAGGGTTTAGGGTTTAGGGTTTAGGGTTTAGGGTTTAGGGTTTAGGGTTTCCCTGAACCCGAGCCGAAGGCCCTCAACTCTGGGTTCTAGAAACCCTGGAGCCTCAACCAACACTCACCGCCATCACTTACGCTTGAGGGTTGAGGGGCCCGGTAGGGTTCAGGCGCTTCATGGATGTGGAGCTCGCGGTTGCGTGCTCATCCCTTAAAGGCAGGCACAGCCCCTGTATCAAGGGTTTTCAGGGTGTCGGCTGACGCCACCCACAAGTACCCCTAAAGAACAAGACAGTTGACAGCTTTGGGGCTGGATCCCACCACCCTGCACCTCACGACCCGAGAGGAAAGACCCTGAAGACCCAATGCCCCATGCGAAGGCACGGAACTTATCAAAGAGACTTCAACCCTAAACCCCAAACCTTAAGGTGTGGAGAATACAGGGCTTGGGACCTCACAGCAAGCCTCGAGGACCCCACGCCCCCAGGGCGTCCTCACCCCTAAACCCTAAACCCTAAACCCTAAACCCGATTCCCGCCGCCGAGCGGCTGCGAGGGAAGGTCTTGCAGCTGAACCAGTCGCCCCACGATGTCCTGCACCTCCGGGCTTGCCCCTCAACCTCTACAGGTTTGGGTTTAGGGTTTAGGGTCTAGGGTTTAGGGTTTAGGGTTTAGGGTTTAGGGTCGAGGGTCTAGGGTCTGGGGTTTAGGGTTTAGGGTTTAGGGTTTAGGGTTTAGGGTTTAGGGCTTAGGGTTTAGGGTTTAGGATTTAGGGTTTAGGGTTTGGGGTTCATTACCTATCAAAAAGGGGTTTGCGTCATCGGGATACCCTCCCAGAGGTCCTTTTTATAAGGGAATTCTCTTAAATGTTTTCAAAGGGGGTTCTACTCTGTTTGGGGTAAAAAGGGGCACCCCTATGGCAGGAAACCCCCCCCCAGAAAGGTCGCTGGCAGTTCAGGGTTTACTTGCAAATTCATGGTACTTATTAACCAAGTAGGACTGTACTTCTTAACCCACCGAGAAGCCCCTTAAGTGCCCTAGTATGCTTGTAAGTACAGTTACAAGTACAGTTCTCATTGGTTGGTAACTACGATGAACCTCCAAGTAGGGGTTCGACCTTGGACCCTTGCGGTTGCCCCTTGGGTTTTGGGGTCCCTTTTTAAGGTTCCCTAAGGGAATATAAAGGCCATGTTAGGAGTATGTTGAGGGGAACCTTTAGGGGGTACAACCTTAAAAATCGAGTCTCCATCCCTGGACTCAACCCCCCATCATCCGCCCCCAACCCTCAGAAGCAGAAAGCCATGAGCCCCAAAAACCCCAAATCCTAAACCTACAAGCACAAAAACACACTGAAGTAATAGTGTCAAGACATTCAGCCCCGTACCTCCTGACAGCCCTAAAACCCTAACTCAACCCAAGGAAAACCCCCAATTAAACCCCCTACTCCAACCCTTTTTACACACCTAAGAAGACCCTGACTCAAGCCTGATTAAACCCTAAACTCTTTTAACCCCCATTGAAACACCAAGTAAATCCTTCAAACCCTCAACCCTTCAAACCCTAAACCCTAAACCCTAAACCCTAAACCCTAAACCCTAAACCCTAAACCCTAAACCCTAAAACTTTACACCCTTCAAAACCTCTGGGCTGAGTCTTCCTTGCCACGACAAGAGTCCTGACGCCCTAGGCCCATACCTCCCACAACCCGAACCTTCGCCCTGAAATCTGTAGGATTTAGGGCCTAGTTTAGGGTTTAGGGTTTAGGGTTTCGGGTTTAGGGTTTAGGGTTTCGGGCTTAGGCTTTACGATGAGGGGTTTAGGGTCCCTAAAGGCCCTAAAGCCCTGAGCCCCCCCAAAAAAACCACCGAAAAAACCTAAGCAGCCGCAGAGGAATCCCCAAGCCTTGACATCTGCCTTGATGGCGTCGCACGTGACGCAGCTGTACATGCCTAAGAGCCCAAGAGCAGAAGGGTTTAGGGTTTAGGGTTTAGGGTTTAGGGTTTAGGATTAGAGACTTCGTAGGCACGCTGGTGCTTCGGGCTTGGGCTTGAGAGTTTTGGGGGTTTGGGCTCGGGCGCTTCTGGGTTTAGGGTTTAGGGTTCAGGGTTTAGGTTTTGGGGTTTAGGGTCTAGGGTTTAGGGTCTAGGGTTTAGGGTTTAGGGTTTAGGGTTTAGGGTTTAGGGTCTGGGGTCTGCGTTTTGGCTCAGGCTTGGACCCCCTCAACGACGAATCCCTCGATCAGCTCTTGATTTATGAGATCTAAACAGCCTACAAACCCTATAATCCTAAATGCTAGTTTAGGTTTTGGGGTTTAGGGCTTAGGGTTTATGGTTTATGGTTTAGCATACGTGGAGTCGAGATCTGAGGGAAAATCACCCTAAAGTCCTTCAAAACTGCCCACTCTCCACCTGAAACCCTAAGCTTTGAAACACAAAATTACAGGGTTCTTAAGGGAGGGGGGTATGTAACCCAAGGTTCCACAATTATCCCCACTACTCCCCACTACTCCCTAAGTGCTCCCAAAGCTTCCCTAAGGTTTCCTAGGTACCTACCCGCCATGAACCCCCCTGTGTTAAGGACCCTATAACAAACAGGCGCTGTGCTCGTCAGTCAGCGGAACAAGTTGACGTGCGAACAGGACTGTCGGCGTGTAGTGGCAACCACTAATTCGCTCACTTCATCTAGGTTTTCAAACTAACTACGTTGGCCCTTAAACCCTGTTGAAACATTTCTAGATAGGATTCTCTTCAGCCCAACAAGGGAAACAACAAATTCCCGCAGGCCTACCTACCTCTACACTTCATTGTTTCTTTGCTGTTCACGCACTTTCCAGTTCCTGTCGCTGGCTTTGCGCACTGGGTTCTGTGATTGAAGATGCAGCGGAAAAATGCTGTTTGGGTTAAGGAAGCGTTAAGGAAGTCAATCGGCACTGGATATGTCCAGCCGAGATTCAAGATCACTACCTCTGACCTCTCCGGAAACCTCTCTCTTTTCCAGCGCTTGAACTGCATACTGCACAGTGGGCGACATGCGATTCGAGCGTACACTCTCGGATTGGTATCTACATGTCAACCTCATTCCCAGCTTTCTGCCCTGAAGTCCCTAAATCCGACAGCATGCAGCCAGGGAGCTTCCCTGGGACTCACTCTTATTCCTGGCTGCAATGGGCTTGCGGTGCATAATGGCTCTTTCGGGGGGGTGAGTGGGTATGGGCGAGGGTTGTCTAAACCCTAAACCCTAAACCGCTAGAGCCTTATCTGTAAAAAGCATACGAAAACAACATTAAGAGCCTTCATCCGCGCGCACTGCAAGAACCGAAGCGGCTGCCCAGGTACGTAGGCTTCTGGGTTTGGGGTTTAGGGTTTAGGGTTTAGGGCTAGGGTTGAGGGCCCCCCAAGCCCACCTGTACTTCTTGTAGTTCGGGCCCTGCCGGACCATGAGGCCTTTGCCGTCGCCCTGGGCCCAGTACGGGCCCTCGCCGGTCCTTGGTGCACTTCAAGGGCGTCGGGTTTGTTGAGGGTTGAGAGTTGAGGGTTGAGGGTTGAGGGTTTAGGGTTTAGGGTTTAGGGTGTAGGGTTTAGAGTTTAGGGTTTAGGGTACCCTAAATCCTAAAGCTCAGAAGCCTGAATCAGCACAATCAGCAACCCGAAGCCATAAACCCACAGGGCAAGTGGCCGTAGGAAACTCAGAGGTTCCCCCGTAACCCTGCTTTAGGGTTTAGGCTTTAGGGTTTAGGGTTTAGGGTTTAGGGTTTAGGAATTAGGGTTTAGGGTTTAGGGTTTAGGGTTTAGGGTTAGGGTTTAGGGTTTAGGGTTTAGGGTTTAGGGTTTAGGGTTTAGGGTTTAGGGTTTAGGGTTTAGGGTTTAGGGTTTAGGGTTTAGGGTTTAGGGTTTAGGGTTTAGGGTTTAGGGTTTAGGGTTTAGGGTTTAGGGTTTAGGGTTTAGGGTTTAGGGTTTAGGGTTTAGGGTTTAGGGTTTAGGGTTGGCTTTGTGGGATTTCGGGCCTGTTTCGTTTGGCCATGGAATTCATCAGGGCCCTTAACCCTAAACCCTACAACTGATCTAAGCCCAACGAATTCGCCAGGGTTTAGGGTTTGGGGTTTAGGGTTTAGGGTTTCCCTAAACCCCTCTAAGCCAGGTGTCGGTGGCAGGTAGTCCTCCTTCCACTCCTTCATCGTCCTGCCAAGCCACTGGTTCGTCGCCCGGATTTCTGCAAAGGAATTAAATCGGACCTGGGATCGAGTTGAAGTGCTCAGTTTAGGGCTTAGGGTTCAGGATTTAGGGTTTAGGGTTTAGGGTTTTGAGGAGGGTTGAGGGTCTAGGGCTGCATGGGGGCGCTGAACTCTCCAGGCCACGAAGCCTGGAGGAATAAACCCCAACCCAAAGGCGCTTGAACCTAACACACAAAGAATCTTACACCCTCAACAAGGAGGGTTTCGGGTTCAGGGCTTAGGGTTTAGGGTTTAGGGCGTATATGCTGCGAGCCCACCCTGAATCCAAAAAGTCGACACCCTATTACAGCATTTAAACGTTCTAAACCCCCCCCCCTATCCCCCGACCCTCATCCTGTCGGCCAACGAAGCCCTCCAAACCCACTAAACCCGAAAGCCTGCACCGCCCCAAACTATCAAAACTTAAAACCCCTTAACCCTAAACCCTAAAACTAAAAACCCTACGAACCCTACGAACCCTACGAACCCCACGAACCCCACGAACCCCACGAACCCCACGAACCCCACGAACCCTACGAACCCCACGAACCCTACGAACCTGCAGACTCGAGGGGCAGGGGCCGGCGCGCTCGGGGCCGCACTAGCACTGGAGCACTCCAGGGGCTGGCTGCCTCAGGGTGGATTCAGGGTTTAAGGTTGAGGGTTTAGGGTTTAGGGTTGAGGGTGTAGGGTTCAGGGTTGAGGGTTTAGGGTTTAGGGTTCTGGGTTTAGGGTTCAGGGGTTAGGGTTGAGGGTTTTGGCGGCTACCTCAGGGTACTTTTGTGCGTTCGGGGGGTTTAGGGTGTTGGCTTTCAGGGTTTAGGGTGTAGGGTTCGCGGTTTTGGCTTGCGGGGTTTTGGGGTTCGGGGTTCAAGTTTTTAGGGTTTTGGGGCTTGGAGGGTTGGGGGGTGACTTGGGGGGTTGGGCGTGCGAGCCTGGGGGTTTTCGGATTTGGGGGTCGAGGGTGTGCACTTTGGGTTTCGGACTGGTGAGTGAGGATGGGGCGGCTTCTCCTCCCTCAGCTTGCAGGTACTTGTCCTCTAGAAAACATTCACAACAGGAGCCCCAACATAACACAACGTACAGTAAACCCCCCCAAAGAGTTGGAACATGCTCATCCCCACACCCCAAAAAGTATACTACAGGGAATTCCAGCTCTAATCATCCTTAAACCATGTTCCAACTTTCTGGAGTTTACTGCTGTTGGACAATTGTCACTAATGCGCCTGGATTTGGCGTCAGAACCCGCCGAGGCCCGAAACACCAAGGCGGGGCCAAGGCAATCGACGCGCAGCGCTTGCAAATCAAATGCTACAATCGATGGGCCATACTTAAGATCAGTACATGAGTAGTACTCTGATCTCTTTTTGGAACCCCAACCCCTAACCCCTAAACCCTAAACCGGGCCTGACAAACCGGAGAGTGCGGAGGAGGCTCGCCGAGCGCGTCTGTGCCTTACACAGGGTCATCCTACCAGCGTTTCGGGTTTAGGGTTTAGGGTTTGGGGTTTAGGGTTTAGGGTTTAGGGTTTCAGGGTTCAGGGTTCAGGGTTCAGGGTTCAGGGTTCAGGGTTCAGGGTTCAGGGTTTAGGGTTTAGGGTTTAGGGTTTAGGGTTTAGGGTTTAGGGTTTAGGGTTTAGGGTTTAGGGTTTAGGGTTTAGGGTTTAGGGATCTTCTAGTATGGAATGCGGCCATGAGGTGCCCTAATATCATCACCTAAGGGTATGTATGGGGGGGGGATGAAAGGTGCCTAGTTCCCTCATTCCCAAACTCCTTCCACTGGTCCAATCTTGTAGATGCATGCCCCATGTGCTGTACTAGGGGGAAAACCCTCTCACATGCTAGTAAGAACGGAACCCCAAACCCTAAACCCTAACCCTAAACACTAAACCCTGAACCCTGAACCCTCAACCCTCAACCCTCAACCCTCAACCCTCAACCCTCAACCCTCAACCCTAAACCCTAAACCCTAAAGCCTAAACCCTAAACCCTAAACCCTAAACCCTAAACCCTAAACCCTAAACCCTAAACCTCACCTAAACCTAAGCAGCCCATACACAGCCCCAGAGCCATGGAGACCATAGTAGCGCGAGTTGGGTAGTTCGGGTTGAGGGTTTAGGGTTTAGGGTTGAGGGTTTAGGGCTTTGGGTTTTTCAGGGTTTAGGGGGGTTCGGGCACCTCTGTATAGGGGCCCGGAAAAGAAGAAAAACTAATTTAGAGAACTCCTCCTTTGAATGCCTCGAGCTCGTACGTACCGTACTTTGTGGGTCAGGATCTTGGGTTTCGGGTTCCGGGCTCTGGGTTTCGGGTTTAAGGTTTAGGGCTTGGGGTTTAGGGTTCCCTCTGCCCTAAACCCTAAACCATCCAAAGCCCTAAGCCCCAAACAAGAAATGGGCATCCCAGACACAGCTCGAAGGAGGCGTAACTCGCCGCCAGCGTTCCCTGTGGAGGCGTTGTGGGAAGGAAAATGTCGGCTTTCCGTTTTTCAGGGCGCCCCAAGCCCTGAACCCCAAACCCGAAACCTTCAACCCTAAACCCCAAACCCTAAACCCTACACCCTCAACCCTAAGCTCTCAAGGGCTTAAGGGCTCAAGGGCTTCAGGGGTGCAACTTTCGGGCTTCGGGTCGGACTGGAGGAGGCTGAGATGCGGAGACTTCGCCCGAAGCCGGAACACGACATGCTGGGTTTAGGGTTTAGGGTTTAGGGTTCAGGGTTCAGGGTTCAGGGTTCAGGGTTCAGGGTTCAGGGTTCAGGGTTCAGGAATCAGGGTTTAGGGTTCAGGGTGCGGGTTTTTTAAGGGTTTAGAGTTTAGGGTTAGAAAAGGTACCCTTGTTTGCTTACGGGGGTTTATCGGGGAACCTAAACACCCCAAACAAGGAATAAGGGTACTGCTGGGCATCCAGGTCATGCTCATGTGCTTAAGGTTTAGTGCTTTGATGCTTACATGTAGGGTCGAACTAAACCCTTAACCGTCACCCTAACCCTAAGCCCTCAACCCTAAGCCCTCAACCCTAAATCCTCAACCCTAAACCCTAAACCGTAAACCCTAAACCCTAAAACCCTCAGCCGGGCCTTAGAGAACTTGACCCAGGCTTGTTCGGAGGCGGCGTGAAAGAGCCCGTCATGTTCCGAAGAGCCCTCCTGTTTGTTCGCGAGGACTCAGGGTTTGGAATGTTCGGAGTCATCGCTTCCACATTTTAAGCGCATGCATACATCTCTGTGTGTAGGGATATATATGTATGTGTATGCAATGTACAAAGTAAATGCAACATTCAAAAGTACATGTAGATGTACAGTAATGTAACGTAACGTAACGTAACGTAACGTAACGTAATGTAATGTAATGTAATGTAATGTGGCGTAGTGTAATGTAATGTAATGTAACGTAAAGTAAGATCATGTAGTTTAATGTAATGTGATGTAGTGTAACGTAGTGTAATGTAATGTAATCTAAATTTTCATGTAAATGCAACGTAATGCAATGTCATGTGAAGTAGGGTAGATATTTCTTGTACCCCCAAGAGGACACCCGGTACATACACTCACCAATATTAACAAAAGGAACCTTATATACACTCGCCAAGAACACTAATATAAACCCTGCTTCCTGTACAAGGAGGGGTCCCCTTAGTATGCTCACTATGGTTAAGGGACTTATAACCGAATTTAGGCTCCTTATAACCCAATTCAGGGTTCTTATGACCCTGCTTCATGTCTGTCTGTATGGATGGATCTGCGGGTTTGTGCGTGTGCGCGCCCGTGTAAAGGGGCGCAATCCAACCTTGCATCCCTGCATGAGACACCCCAAGCCCTAAACCCTAAACCCTAAACCCTAAACCCTAAGCCTAAACCCTAGACCCTAAACCCTAAACCTGCTCACTGAGCACTCTGTCCTGACACTCATAGAATCGGTCGTGGAAGTCCTGGGCGTCTTGGGCTCGAAGCTGAAAGGGCAAAGACGTAGCTTGGGGGCTTAGGGTTTAGGGGTTGGGGTTGGGGTTTGGGGTTTGGGGTTTGGGGTTTGGGGTTTGGGGTTTGGGGTTTGAGGCTTGGGGCTTGGGGCTTGGGGCTTGGGGCTTGGGGCTTGGGGCTTGGGGCTTGGGGTTTCGGGTTGCTTCAAAGTGAATTGTTTCAGCATAGTCAGGCGGTTTTGGCAGCTTTCCAGTCGAGTTAAGTGCCGGGTTGGGCACTGACCTGGCATCCAGATTGCTTTCTGCACCCTAAGCTTGAGAACTCACCAGCTTCAGCGCCTGAGCCCTAAACCCTAAACCCTCTTCCGCCGAAACCCCTAAACCCCTAAACCCCGAAACCCCTAAACCCCTCAACCCCTAAACCCCTCAACCCCTAAACCGGCGGAGGGGGGGGGGGGGGATCCGAAGCCCTGCAGACGGAGTTGGCCCCTTTGCTGCTGTCGGAGTCCAACTCAAACACCCTTCAAGGCTTAGAGGGTTTTAGGGTTTAGGGCTTTAGGGCTTTAGGGGTTTAGGGTTTAGAGCTTTTGGGGCTTGAGGGTTTTTGACTTTGTTATTGTTGTGTTTTGGTGTTCTTTTTTTGTGGGGGGGGGTTACAGGGGTTTTCGGGTTTCGGGTTTACGGTTTGTAGGGTTCTTGCTCTCTTGCTATTGTTTCTATTTGTTGATTTCTTATGTTTTACTTGTTTGCTTGCTCTTTTTTAAAGGGGGCATGTTAGGATTTAGGGCTTAGAGGGGTTTAGGGTTTAGGGTTTCGGGTTTCGGGTTTGGGCGTTTAGGGTTTAGGGCATCTCGCAAGCAACTCGACAGTCACACCCCTGAAGCCCCCCGATTCCCGTAGGGGTTCGGGGGTTCAGGGTTCGGGAGGGTTCAGGGTTCAGGGTTTAGGGTTTAAGTTCAGGGTTTAGGATCTAAGGCTAAACCCTAGATCCTCAGGCCTCATTTTCTTGAACTTGTGTGGAAGGACTGGAATCCTAAGCCCAAAGCCCGAAAGCCCGGGTCTTGGGTTTAGGTCTTGGGGTTTCGCGTTTGCGGCTTGGGGTTGGGGGTTCAGAGTTGAAGGCTTCGGTTTAGGGTTTAGGGTTTAGGGCTTGGGGTTTAGGGTTCTTGGGGCTGAAACGCCCCCAAGACCCGAAGAGCGCTTGCTCCGCCAAGCTGCGTCCCATCTCGCATCGCGGTAGAAGGCGTCTTCCCCTGGGTGCCAGGGCGGAGCTTGCGCGAGGCCCCTAAAAACACCTTGGCATCCCCTAAGCGCGATCTTTTTGTCTTGTCCCTAGGTGTGGTACTTGAAAGGCTAGCTCAACCTCTCCCGAGCTGAACCCAAAATCCTCAGTGCTCTTTCCTAGACCTTCAAGCTTGAACCTGAAGGTCCAAAGATAGGTGAACGACAGAAGACCACAAGGGAGCAGGGCTCCCCTGCTGGTTGCTAGATTAGTTCAGTGTTGCGACACAAGCAACCTCGCACATGGAAGAAAACTACCACAGAACCTCAAGCCCAGCCCAGACAGAAGGGTCTGCGGGTACGTACTCGAGAAGGTTGTTCCAATTTAGGGTTGCTTCTGGGGGCAACTTGAATATCAGGGCTGCTTGTATGAGAATTGGTACGTTACCCGAAAAAGGCCCCTAATTTAGGTACACAGAGACCCGTAGCCCACTTCGCCAAGCTGTGACAAGTATCCAAGCAGCCGAAGATTTTTGGGCTCCACTTTCAGGGTGTAGGCCCTTGAGTTGAGGGTTCCCAAATCCCAAAGCAAGGGGCCGAAAAGGCTGTCGACATCGCAGGAGACGCCCCCACGGTTGCGTGGGTTGGAGCAGCATTCAAGGCTACCTGGTCGAAAACCAGACCCTATCAACCCTAAACCCTAAACCCTATCAACCCTATCAACCCTACATACCCTAACCCTAAACCAGGGTTTCCTGAGGCCCTTCCAACCCTCTGAACGATGTTCCGGAATCTGGAGAACGTGCCTCTTCTGAGAACGGAGTTTGCCATTAAGTGACTACATGGGGGTTTTGGGGTTTTGGGGTGTTGGGAATCCCTCTGATGGCATGTCTAGGGTGGGAGCACAAAGGACACGTGAAGCGCAATGTGCGCGCAGTTTGGGCGCCCGAAGTCAGGCCCACCACGAGCCAGGCCGAAGGAAACCCGTAGGTCACTCCCACTACTACGGCGACTGCGATTGCTATTGCTACGATCTCTGCACTTTCTTGATCATCTCTGCCCACCCCGCAACCGAAACCCTAAACCCTCCAGCCCCAAACCCTACAAACCCTCAACCCTGGGTCGGCAAGCTCTGCCCGGATCCTCGAATCATGCTGATAAAGTTTAGGGTTTAGGGTTTAGGGTTTAGGGTTTAGGGTTTAGGGTTTAGGGTTTAGGGTTTAGGGTTTAGGGTTTAGGGTTTAGGGTTTAGGGTTTAGGGTTTAGGGTTTAGGGTTTAGGGTTTAGGGTCCAGGGTTTGGGGGTTTAGGGTTTAGGGTTTAGGGTTTAGGGTTTAGGGTTTAGGGTTTAGGGTTTCGGTCTAGGGTTTGGGGGTCTAGGGTTTAGGGCTTAGGGTTTAGCGATAAGGGTTTAGGGCTTAGGGTCCCTTGCAAGCTAAGCTTGTATGCAAACCTTGCCGTATGACCAGTACCACCCAAGCCGCTCCTCCTCACACCTTGTCTTTACTCTTCGCCACAGGACATATCGAACTCAACCCGAAGCCCCAGCAATAATTCAACCGGAATGCTTCTCCTAAACCCAAGAACTCTTAGCCCCGAAGGGAACCCAAATACTTGAGCCCCCAACCTCCCCCTAAACCCTAAACCCTAAACCCGAAACCCTAAACCCTAAACCTAAACCCTAAACCCTAAACCCTAAGCCCTAAGCCCTAAACCCTAAACCCTAAACCCTAAACCCTAAACCCACCCCAAGGACACCCTCGGGTCTATGCTGCCAAAGTTGCTGCCAACTCCCATGACCGGGCCCAGTGGCCCTGAGGCCACTGGACGCTTCTGGGCTTTTGCTGCGGGACTTTGGGATTTTAGTTTGTAAGGGTTGAGGGTCCGAGGTCTCAGGCCTGATATAGGGGCCTTAGTCATTAGAAGAGGGTTTGGGGATACCATCAGTAACTATTCCGACCCCTTGATTAGAGCCTCTAAAGGGTTGAGGCTGTTAAGGGTTGCTGGCTTGGGTGCACGGCTTGATGGCCTTGGCTTTTGTTGAAGTTGAGGCATCTGGGTCTGGGGTTGCAGCCTGCATTTTTCCATTGAGGGCAGATGCGGAATCAGGGTCAGACCTGCATTTGGGGGGTTGCACTCATGCCAGACAACGCCCTCATCTGACAAATCCTGAGCAGGCGAAAGGCCGCGGAAAGGTCAGCGATTGCTCAGCCTTTCAGCCCCTTGCACCCTTGCACCCCTAAACCAAGCCCTTAAACCTTCAAACCCTAGAACTCTAAAACCCTAAAACCCTAGATGAAACCCTAGAACCCTTAGAACCCTAAAACCCTACAACCCTAGAACCCTCAAGCCATAAAGACCCTAAAACCCTAGACAAAACCCTAGAACCCTAGAACCTTGCAACCCTAAAAACCCAAAATTCCAAACCCCAACACCCTAAAACCCTAAAACCCTGGGACCTTGGAACCCTAAATCCCCTAAAACCCCCGAACACCCCCCCAAACCCCCCCCCCTAAAACCCCCCTAAAACCCCCAAAGCCCCTAAAGCCCAAAAACACCAAAAGCCAAAAAACTTTGGGCAAATTCAAAACCTTGAAACCCTAGGGCTTAGGGCTTAGGGTTTAGGGATGAGGGCTGGTTTCGGGTTAACCCTAAGAAGCCTGAGCCCTCTAAACCTTAACCCAGGGTTGAGGGTCGAAAGTGTGGAGCGGCTTCGGATGTAGAGCTAAAGCCATGAGTCCCCTCAATCCTACACCTTCCACCGGCAAAACGGGCCCTAAACCCTAAACCCTCGAACCCTCGAACCCTGACTCCCTCGAGCCCTGCAGCACTCGAAAGCCCTAAAGCCCTAAAGCACCCGAAAAGCCCTAAACCCTAAACCCTCAACCCTTAGCCCAAAACCCTAAACCCTAAACCCTAAACCCTACACCCTACACCCTAAACCCTAAACCCTAAACCCTAACCCTAAACCCTAAACTCTAAACCCTAAACCAACACCCTGACCAAGGTGAGCCCTCATAAGATCGAGCGGGCGCGGCTCGCCAGCGGGGGCTCGCCCGGGGCGGCCTCGGGACCTCTTTTTGTGTGAGGGTTTGGGATTTAGGGTTTAGGGTTTAGGGTTTGGGGTTTAGGGTTTAGGGCTTCGGGCTTGGGGCTTAGGGCTTCGGCTAGGGTTAGGGTATTAGGGGCTTAGGGTCAAACGCCTTAGGAACCACATATTACTTCTCTGCGGGTTGCTATGAGCATCTCCTAGTGTCTTCTTGGGTGACTGAGTACCAACATGTGTAGGGCGAGATGTGGGCGTCGACTGTGGGAAGGGTTTAGGGTTGAGGGTTGAGGGTTGAGGGTTGAGGGTTGAGGGTTGAGGGTTGAGGGTTGAGGGTTGAGGGCTGAGGGTTGAGGGCTGAGGGTTGAGGGTTGAGGGTTGAGGGTTTGGGGTTGAGGGTTTGGGGTCCAGGCCTTTGGAGCGTCCTGGCACTTCCACTTGGCGTGACCCAAGCACCCAGATTCTGCAGGAACTCCGGACTTGTCCGGTTTCCAGGGAGGGTGAGTGAAGTCTAGGGTTCAGGGTCAAGGGTTAAGGGTTTAGGGTTTCGGGTTTAGGGTTGCGGGTTTGGGGTTTAGGGTTTAGGGTTTAATTAGGGTTTAGGGTTTGGGGTTTTGGGTTTTGGGTTTTGAGTTTTGGGTTTTGGGTCAGAGGCTTAGGTCTTTTGGTAGTACATACATACATACATACATACGTACGTACGTACGTACATACATATATATATATATATATGCATATGTTTTTCGGTATATATATATATAATGTATATATCCCTAAACAGCCCGTGACCAGAAGCACCGAGGGCCGCGCTCAGTACGAATGCGGAGCCTGCATGCAGGGTTGGGCCGCGCAGGAAGTTCAGGGACTTCCACAACCACACTCTCCAACCCTAAACCCTAAACCCTAAACCCTAAACCCTAAACCCTAAACCCTAAACCCTAAACCCTAAACCCGAAACCCTAAACCCAAACCCTAAACCCTAAACCCTAAACCCTAAACCCTAAACCCTAAACCCTACCCTCTAAACCCTCCACCCCGGCGAGATGTTGCTTTCGCCCTAAACCCTACTACCCGAAACCCTCAGAATGGGCAGCTTTACGAACCAAAAAACTAAGCCCGTTGCCTTTCATACATGGTAGTGCTTGGTCCACAAGCATGAGCGAGCTTTTGCAGAGGCCAGGGTTCGGGTTCCGAGCTGAAGAGGAGAAGTGCATTAAACCTGGGCACCGGGAAAACCGCGTTTGGGAGAAAACCCCGTGCCCAAATTCCGGCCGCCGTCATGCGCTTCACAACATGGCCACCCCTAGTCAATGGATAGCACGGAAGATTCACAAAGCCTGCGGGGGACGCATCATGACGCATGCCTCACTTTGGGCGGCAAGATTCCAACGACCAGCCGGCCAACGTGTCACAGCCCAGTTGCACTTCCTGCGCATGAAGGTCTGGGAGGGTAAGGCGCTGAGAAATGGTGATCGGCACAGAACCCGCCGCTGCGATGGTCCTGTAGAGATCAACCTCGGTGTCCTGGGAAACCATGGAGGTACACTCATCCAAGATGGCCAGCCGTGGCCGGTGGAACAAGCAGCGCGCGATGCCTATGCGCTGCTGCTCACCACCGGACAAGATCTCGTCCCACTGCAGCTCAGGCGTGGCGAATAAACCTTTGTGGCGCTCCACGAGATATCCGATGCCGACTGAATCCAAGGCTTGCTGCAGTTTCTCCGGATCCTGCTCCAGGCCGCTGAGCGGATAGGACACCTGATCCCCAAGACCTCCCGGAGACAGGTAAGGCTTCTGCGGGATCAGCAAGAGATCCGTGAGATATGGCCGTGTGCGAAACACGGACACTCCACAAAAATCCACGGAAGCATCAACGGTGGTTGGTGCACGAAGTCCGGCAAGGTGACCTGCGAGCAAGGATTTGCCTGAAGCGTTGGGCCCCGTGACAACCACAGGATTTCCGGGCTTCACCTCGAAGCCCACTTTGAGTGCCAAGACTTCACCTTTCCTGGGCGGGAGATGGCCCTCTACACGTGTCATTCCTATGGGCGTAAAAAATTCCGGGTCGTGTAGGGATTGCCGGGCCCAGAGAACTATAATGAACAAACCATTAAACCATTCCAAATCAACCGCTGAATTTCAACGGGGTCAGGATGTCGACGTCTCGGACTTGGAGAACCGGGTCTGCTGCCACACTCTGGGCCGTCGCCACATTCGGGGCCAGGCTCTCCGCATGCTCGAGGCCATTGAGGAACTCAGACATGCGGGCCAAGGTGAAATGCAGGCCTGTGAGCCGTTCTGGCAACCTGCACACTGCGTTCATGTTGTTGAAGGCCAGGGTCGTTCCACGATCAAAAGACCACATGCCATAGAGCTCTGCCGGAGATATGGCGCCCTGGCTAGCTGCTGAAGAGTACTTCATGGTGTAGTACATGGACAAGACCCGCATGAAGGACAGCGGCAGCAAGCTGCCATCCGTGAGGAAATCGGTGGCAGCCCGGTAGAGAATGTCCTCATTATCCAGTGCCTGCTGAGTTCGGATGACGTCATCGAAGCGCTCCTCGACGATTCGCTGCTCGGCCCGACCGCCCCCTGAGAAGGCAATGGGCTCCAAGTTTTGGCGGAAGCGCGCATGAACCGTCTTGAACTTCGCCTCCTTGTCCGCCAGCCCACCCATGTGAATGGAGTAGTTCGGCATCACATAGCGCGAGACGAGGCCGTGAAGGGGCATGTTCAGCAAGTACAGCACCACCACTCTCCTTAGTTGCTGAGCTCATAAGCGCCCCCAAAAAAAAGTGTGTAAACCTTTCAGTTCTATAGGGGATTCATGAGCATCCCAAAAAGGTGTATAAAGTGTGCTCACTCAGCTGCTAAGTCTCCAGCCTCCGGTGGACAGCGACAGGGCCGCCCCGTAGAACGCCAGCACGCACGGCTTCAGCGTCGTCTCGAGGAAGCCCAGCAGCACATCTCCGAAGCCGGCCACCTCGCCTGCGACCAACTTTTGCTGGAGAACCCCCCCCCCCCCCAAAAAAAAAGAAAAAAAAAAACAAGCTTAAACAAAAAAACCAAGTGAGAGATTTCTCTTCCTTATAAGGGTAACATGAACATATAGGGATTCTTAGTTTTTCTTTGCTTTTCTGGCTTCTTTTTTTTGGGGGGGGGGGGGGTTCTTGAGCAAGTCGTCGCCTGCGCGCGCGGCCGGAGGCCATGTGGTAGGCAGCTGCCAGGCCATGCCATGGTGGATGGCATGCTTCTTCAGCAGGAGCTCGTGGACTTTCAGGGACAGCCCTTCCTCTGCTGACACCGTGGAACCCTAGCAGAAATTATCTATTTTTTGCTGCTGCTTCTTTAGGAATTATAGTACAAAAAATAGAAACTATGTGATTTTTGCTGTTTCTTTAGGAATGATAGTACCCAAGAAAGAAAAATATTCCCAAGTATCCCCAAGCTTCTTGCAGAAGCAAGGCCAGGCGCTGCGAGAGGCGCTTCATGAGTCGATCCAGGGCCAGCGTCGCGAGCGTCACCTGGGGGAATTAAAGGTTCTATTGGGTTTAGGGTTTAGGGTTTAGGGTCTAGGGTCTAGGGTTTAGGGTTTAGGGTTTAGGGTTAAAGGTTACCTACTCTACTACTGAGCCTTCATGTTCTTCCAGAAAGCCCGGCGAATGGCCGCCCTATCGCCGGACAGTGCGCTCACGATGATGTCGCCCACCGACCTCCAGCCTGCCACCAGCAAGGGGCAGCGCACGACCAGCAAGAGCGCAAAGGCAGCCAGCCGCCAGAGAGCGGCGGGCTGCTTCAGCCCTGTGAAGAGAGCAGGATGGTACATCCTGGGCTCCATTTCCCGCGGCAGCACTGACCGGGTGCTGCAGGCCTCGAACTTGCGCGAGCGCTCCTGCGCGATCTCAGCGCACTCCGTCTTCCGGGCCTCGGAGAGCTTGATCGCACGCCCGGCCATGTACTTCTCAATGAGGCCAGGGGCATCGACGTCCTTGCAGGCCTCTGGGCTGAAGGTCGGGGAGCCGTTCTCGATCTTTGTCAGCTTCCAGCCTCCCCCTTCAGTAGGCTTTCCAGTCAGCATGAGCTGGTGCTGATGATACTGCAGCAGGGCAGGTCGGTGAGCGATGGTGATGCATGAGATTCCCAACTTGGGGCACAGCTCAAAAAGGCGCCGCTCCATCTCCCCGCTCACCGCGGACGTGCACTCATCGAGCACAGCGAACCTATATGTCCCTTAGAACCTTAACAAAAATAGTATTTGAAAATATTTTAAATATCCTCTTGGGTTCTATATAAACAAAAATAAAAAATAGTCCCAAGGGGGATATAGGAACTTGGGCCGCCGCCAGAACAGGCGGAGGATGGCGAGCCGCTGCTGCTCACCCCGCGACAGGACCTGCTCCCAGTCGATCTGCTCTGTGAATACGCCTCCGGGGGGTTCCGATTGGGGTCCTGCTTGTGAGGGAGTCCTACTCTATAGGGACCCCCAAAAAGGGTACTCCCCCTAAACCCTAAACCCTAAACCCCCAACCCCAAACCCTAAACCCTAAACCCGATGTTAGGGGCCCCTTATTATGTTCCTAAACCCCCCAACCCCTAAACCCGAAACCCTAACCCTAAACCCTAAACCCCAAACCCTAAACCCTAAACCCCCCACCTGGAAAGTCGGCGAGGTGGCCGAGGTCCACGAAGTCGAGCCACCTTCGCAGCTCCTTCTCGGTCAAGGTGTCGGGGACTGGGTCCGGGTAGCAGAACCTAGCTTTTTTGAGGGTTTAGGGGTTTAGGGGTTTAGGGGTTTAGGGGTTTAGGGGTTTAGGGGTTTAGGGGTTTAGGGTTTAGGGTTTAGGGTTTAGGGTTTAGGGTTTAGGGTTTAGGGTTTAGGGTTTAGGGTTTAGGGTTTAGGGTTTAGGGCTTCATGGTCGGCATAGTATTAGAAGTTGTTTAAAGCTTCTATTCCTGATTGAGTTGAAGGGATAGTATTAGAAACTCAAAACTTCTATTCCTTGTCGAGTTTAAGTACCCTTTAAGATGTTCATGGTTGGGGATAGTATTAGAAATTTGAAACTTCTATTCCTTGTTGAGTTGAAGTACCCTTAACAACGTACAAGGCTACCCGACTATGACAGAGGAACTGGTCCATCAGAGTGCCCAGAGCGTTGTAGGGCCTCTGGGGAAGGTAGTATACCACGCCAGTCAGGCCGATTCCATCGTTCTCAATTTGGTTCTTCGGGCGCACGATGTTTCCATTCTGGATCTGCCAGAGCCCACCCAGACAGCGGAAGATGGAGCTCTTGCCTGCGCCATTGTGGCCGGTGAGAAGCAAGGCCTCACCCCAGCGGACAGAAAAAGATAGCTGGTCCACCAGCAGTGCGTTGCTGGGAGTGTGGATGGAGACCTCTTTGAACTCGATCTGGTCTTCGGTTGACACGTGGACGCGAGTCTGTGGCTGTGCAGTGGCCACCAATTTCTTCTCCAAATGCTGAATGCGCATGATGGCCGCATAGTTCTGCAGCACCTGGTGCAGTGCGAACACAATGCGGAAGGTGGCCCAGAGCAAGAAGTTGCCACCCCAGAACAGCTGGATACCACGACTGTAGCCTTCGGCCACCAAGTGGCTGCGCTCGTTGTAGCCCAGAACGCGGTTTGCGTCATCCCCCGCCCGCACCGATCGGCCAGCCATCAGGCCTGAAACTCCCCAAAGGTACGTCAGCCAGCCCAGCGGCGACTGCTCCTTTCAGGGCTTGCGGATCAGGGCCCCCCACCCCCACCCACCCCCGCCCCCCCGAAAGAAAATGATCCTAAACGCCCCAAGCGCGGCATGTCCCCAAACCGGCCTAAATCCAAAATGCCCTCAAATCCCGCTCCCAAACCCTATCAAGAGGGCCGCCTAGATCCAACAAAGCCCTAAAACCCTAAACCGTAAACCCGAAACACCCTAAACCCTACACCCTAAATCCTAAATCCTAAACCCTAAACCCTAAACCCTTAACCCCAAAGCCTAAACCCTAAACCCTAAACCCTAAACCAAAACTCCGCTCCAGGCAGGAGAAGATGAAGTAGTACAGCACGGTGTCGAGCCTGTCCTGGCCCACGTAGGCTCGCCACTTCGCGGCCAAGGCGGTTCGGAGCTTTCCTCGAAGGGCCCCCTTAGAACCCTCTGAAGGATACTGTAGTATGCTATAGTATACTACATTATACTATATTATACTCTCCTATACTAGAATATACTAGTTTATACTATATCATACCAAAATGTACTAGATTATACTAGATTCTACCAGATTACACTATATTATACTCTGCTATGCTATATGAAAACTAGATTCCAAAGGATGATCGTCTTGAACCCAACAAGGGAAAATTCAATAAAATCTCCCAAGGGCCAACCGAGTTTCCGTTGACATCCTGCAACTCGGGAGCCCCTCCTTGGAGGTTCATGGTACTTACTAACCCTAAACCCTAAACCCTAGACCCTAAACCCTAGACCCGAAACCTTTCATTCCCTAAACCCTAAACCCTAAACCCTAAACCCTAAATCCTAAACCCTAAACCCTAAACCCTAAACCCTAAACCCTAAACCCCCAAGGCCTTGCAGCGCGCAGATGGCCTGCGCATGCGTCTCCGCACGGCTCAGGCTCTGCTTTAAGGCCGAGTCGGTCGCGGCAGCGCCACCCAGCCTACAACAAGGAGCAAGCTAGGAATGAAAAGGGTTTAGGGTTTAGGGTTTGGGGTTTAGGGTTTGGGGTTTGGGGTTTGGGGTTTGGGGTTTAGGGTTTAGGGTTTAGGGTTTAGGGTTTAGGGTTTAGGGTTTAGGGTTTGGGGTTTAGGGTTTAGGGTTTAGGGTTTAGGGTTTAGGGTTTAGGGGGATTATTAGGGAACCCCAACCCTAATAAAAGGGAAAAGGGTCATACTCCAGGTCCTAGCAGCAGCCCGGCCCAATCCACCGGCATGATGTAGTTGGCAGTGATGTAGAGGGAGATGGCGTAGATTTGCGTGGTCACAGCAAAGAGGACGCCCTTCCGTCCCTGCCTTGCCAGGATCATCGAGAACGCGATCCTCGGTAGCCCACAACCACACTTGTAAGAAGGGTGCCCTTCTCTTGGTTAGCTACTTCATAAGAGAACCCACAAGACCACAAGACCACAAAAAGAGGCGCAAAGGGCACCAGTGGGCCACCAAGAAGCACATCAACAATTCCTCCCAGCATCTGGGAGAGCAGGCTGGAAACGCTGGACGCCAAAGCTGGGACATCGCTTGTCAACCGCACGTCTGCATCTGCCACAGCGCCTTCCGCCTGTCCGCCCTGAGCAATCCTTAAGGTAGCCCAGTAAGCATATTGCAATGAGGGCACTCTCTTTTGAGTTGGTTACTTCATAAGGGAACCCAAAACCCAAAAAAAAGAAACAGCAAAGGGTAAGGGTACCACTGGGCTACCAAGAATCTGATAGAAGTGAGAGCTGGCAAAGTACAGCTGATGCAGTCGAGTGGTCAGCGCTTGCCTCCACATCCGTGCAAGGGCCTTCTCAGCATAAGAATGCCAGCTGTTGAGCCCGGCGATGACGGCGCATGCTACGATGCCGTCGATCATTGACCTTACCCATCTTCGAACCTGACCAGAGTTTTGATAGTAGACCTGCATCTCGTTCATGCGCATCTTGGCCACAAGCGTTCCCGTCCGCACAACCGACGCCAGGCCCAACACCAGGAACTGTCGCCGCAGCTGCCTGTTGTCCGTTGTATATCTCATGACCAGCTTAAGTGCTTCATACCAGACGTACAGCTGCGATACCAGCGGCTTCGCCATGCCGGGGCCGCTGGCCAAGTGGCCAAGATCCAGCCCCGGGCTGCTTTGCCCTGACAATTTCTAGGGCATTGAATGTGTATGGACGCCGATCTCAACGTCCCTGACGTGCTTCTTGCTGTTTTGATATAGGCATGAATCTTCTACCGTTAACTGCAGTGGAAGACGTGCGCACCAAAGCGAGTGATCAAGCAGATGGTGTCACTGGCTGCCGTGAGCCTTCAGCCACAAACATGTTGGTTTAGAGTTCAAGGTGCTTGTCTAAGATTCTTGCCGAAAATTCAATTCAAGTAATCACAAAAGCAGTAACAATAGCAACAGTAGCAATAGTCGTGATAACAGTAATAATAGTCTGATAATACTAGTACTAATAATAAGAACAAAAGTAATCCCGAAAACCTGCTTTTCCGCCCTTGAAATGCAAGATGTCCTCCTTCCACAGTAGTAATAATAACAATGGTCATAATAGAGATAAGAGCAATAACATTAATAACAGAAAGAACAATAAGAACAGCAATAATTGTAGTCATAACAGTCAGAAAGGCCATGATAGAAAAAAATAGTACTACCAGTAATCATAGAAGAACTACGAATAAAAACAACGGCAAGAGTCAGAATAGTAAAAACGGCAACACCCAGCAATTAACAGCAATAACCTACTTGCAATCATAATAACAGCAACAATCGTAATAACTATAATAACCGCGATAATAATGACAACAATAACAACTATGACAATTAAAAATGTAATTATACTACTCATAAAAAAACAATCAGAGTGAAATCATACTACGATGCGAGCAATGCCTGGGAAGCCCGCCGGCCTGAATCCCCACAGCAGAGCAACTTTGCATCCAGGCTGCTGGCCTGGGCGAAAGGCCGAACAGCTCGGCAGGGAGCATGTTCAGGCAAAAGGGGTAGAAGCATAAGCCCGAAACCCTAAACCCTAAACCCTAAACCCTAAACCCTAAACCCTAAACCCTACAGGGGCTTAGGGGGCTTCAGGAAGGAGGTTTCGGAGCGTCGGAGTTTGGGAGGCTGGGGGTCTGTTGAGGGGCTTGGGTGCTACAGGCCTTGCATTCTTGGGCTTTTGGGTTTCCAGGCCTAGAGGGTTTAGGGTTTAGGCTTTAGGGTTTCGGGTTTGGGGTTTAGGGTTTAAGGTTTAGGGTTTAGGGTTCAGGGTTTAGGGTTTAGGGTTTAGGGTTTAGGGTTCAGGGTTTAGGGTTTAGGGTTTAGGGTTCAGGGTTCAGGGTTTAGGGTTTCGGGTTTAGGGTTTAGATTTTTAGTTTCGGGCTGAGGGTTCGTGTTTCAAGGTCCAGGGCTTCTTACTTTCAGGCCCCGCGCAATCCCCAACTCAGCCGTCCGTACTGGCGTGAGCCCTGAACACGAAACTCTGTAGGGGATAAGGCTTATGGTTCAGGGCTTAGGGTTTAGGGTTTAGGGTTTAGGGTTTAGGGTTTAGGGTTTAGGGTTTAGGGTTTAGGGTTCAGGGTTTAGGGTTTAGGGTTTATGGTTTAGGGCAAAAACCCTCCTCGACTGTCTGCCGTGTATAAGTCGCCTCTCACTTTCTAGTTCTTAGAGGGATTAGGGAAGTTTCGGCCTTACAACCCCCCTTTAGGGTTTAGGGTTTAGGGTTTAGGGTTTAGGGTTTAGGGTTTAGGGTTTAGGGTTTAGGGTTTAGGGTTTAGGGTTTAGGGTTTAGGGTTTAGGGTTTAGGGTTTAGGGTTTAGGGTTTAGGGTTTAGGGTTTAGGGTTTAGGGTTTAGGGTTTAGGGTTTAGGGTTTAGGGTTTAGGGTTTAGGGTTTAGGGTTTAGGGTTTAGGGTTTAGGGTTTAGGGTTTAGGGTTTAGGGTTTAGGGTTTAGGGCCCCTTCATAGAACTCTTGTAAGGGACTATGCAGGGTGCCACATTCTCACAGCGCCAAGGGTAAGATTCCCAAGAAGGGCAAAAATGTCACAAAAGCTCCCAAAGCCTTAACCCCTAACCCTAACCCTAAACCCTGAACTCTGAACCCTAAACCCTAAACCCTAAACCCTAAACCCTAAACCCTAAACCCTAAACCCTAAACCCTAAACCCTGAACCCCCCAAGAGCTGTCTCTGGGCCCGAAACTGCCACGGAATTCAGGCCCCGCTCTGGCTCGACCACCTCGGCTCTGTGAAGGTTGGGGTTTTCTATAGGGTTCCCCTACTTTGGAGTAGGGTTTAGGGTTTAGGGTTTAGGGTTTAGGGTTTAGGGTTTCGGGTTTCGGGTTTAGGGTTTAGGGTTTCGGGTTTCGGGTTTCGGGTTTAGGGTTTAGGGTTTAGGGTTTAGGGTTTAGGGTTTAGGGTTTAGGGTTTAGGGACCCTGGAAACCAGTTCTTACTTTTTAGGTATAGGTAGGTATAAGTAGGAGCCCAGAACCAAAACAAGTGTTAAAGTATAGTACTCCAAAATTCAGGTTCTTAGGTTCATGGGGGGTAGGTACCAGGGAGGCTTAGGGAGTCGTGGGGGGAGGGTGGGGGAGGGAAGTTCGGGAACACCTTTAATCCGCCGTTGAGAACCCTATGATTATATTTGGGGTTTCGGTGATTTCGGGGCTTTGTTTCGGGGTGCAGGGATCCAAAGGTTCGGGAGGTGGGGGTGGGGTCCGCAGTAGCAATGTCGCATTTTGGCCCATCGATATGCCTTCTTGCAATGTTCCGGTTTGGGGTTTGCTGAACCCTGAACCCTAAGCCCTAAAAAATATGGAGGGCTCCACAGACGGGGGGAGGGGGGGGAACCCAGGGAAACTTCGGACTTTTCGAGCTTTAGGGACCGCTAAGGTCCCCCCTGGGTTTGGGGCGAGTTTGCGCACCAAGCCCTTCGGAAGGCGTGCAACGCCGCAAGAAGCCCTGAAAAATAAAGAAACAAAACAAAAGTCGCCCTCTGAAACCCTCAACCCTAAGCCCTAAACCCGCCCTATCCCCTTAACCCCCGCCCCGCACGCCCTGACATCTAGCAAGCCAAGGCACCATCTGGTGCAGTTCCGAGGCCGTGTGTGGGTCCCAGACCTGCACCCCTCAATCTGGTTTAGGGTTTAGGGTTTAGGGTTTAGGGTTTAGGGTTCAGGGTTTAGGGTTTAGGCTTTAGGGTTTAGGGTTTAGGGTTTAGGGTTCAAGGTTGAAGGGTTTGGGAAATTTAGGATTCAAGGTTTAGGGTTCAGGGTCTTAGGGCGTTTGGGGTTTTGGGGCTCGGAAGTTCAGGGTTTTGGGGGATTAGGGTTGTTGCTGTCAGCAGTGAAGCGCTGCATGGTTCTCGGGGAACTATGGGACCACCTGTTATGGAGAGAAAACAGCTGCACCAAGGCGTTGGGGATGGGAGAGGGGAGGCAGCCACCCCTAAACCCTAAGCCCTGAACCCGCTGGGTGCCTTGGGCTTCTATTTTAATGGGGCTTCTTCTGGGGTTGATAGTTATAGGGCCTGTGAGGTTTATGAGGTCAGCTACAGCTTCCGGTTGCGCAGCGCAGGACCCTGACACTGTTCTAAGGCTTTCGGTTGAGGGCTTCTGGAAACTCATCTCCGCCAGCAGAGCTCTGGAACTACAACCCGAAGAGACTAATCCCTATAATCCCTACAACCATCCCACTTTGGCCCAAGGCACCCGGACTAGCCCATCGAGGCCACTTGAGAAGACGGACACGCCAAAGCCGTGGAACTGCCTTTTAAAGGGCCGAGAAGAATCGCAGCAGACGGCAGACACCCTCGAAGCCTAAAACCTGGATGGGTGTAAGATTTGGGGTATAAGGTTTAGGGTTTTGGGTTTTGGGACTACAAGAACCTGGAGGGCGCAGAGCAGTGCGCTCCTACTCACGGGAATTCGGTGGCCAGGATACGCCCTCCCAGCGAGAGTTAAATCCTATAGCTCAACGACAAGCATCCCCACTTAAAACTCCTCAAGCCTAAACCCTAAACCCTAAACCCTAAACCCTAAACCCTAAACCCCTTGAAACCCCAAGGACGCTCGCGCAGCTCCCTTAGCTCCAGACGCTTGCACCTCGGCGGGACCAACTTGGCTTTGAGGCCAAGGGCTGAGGGTTCAGGGTTCAGGGTTTAGGGTTCAGGGTTTAGGGTTTAGGGTTTAGGGTTTAGGGTTTAGGGTTTAGGGTTTAGGGTTTAGGGTTTAGGGTTTAGGGTTTATCCCAAAGCTTCCCTAAGGTTCCCTAGGTACCGACCCCATGAACCCCCCTCCCTTAAGAACCCCAAACCCTAAACCCTATACCCGAAACCCTAAACCCTAAACCCTAAAACTTCAACCCTGAACCCTTGAAATTCCTATAAGGAAACTCAGCTGGCGCGTCCCTGTCAATTCCGGGCTGATCGGCATGATCTTGGTCTAGGGGCCGCAGCCCGCAGCAAACAGCCCGCAGCAAACAGGCACAGCGCACGCCTGAAACCATAAGCCCTTGAAAGCCCCTAAACTAAAACCCTAAACCCTACAAAACCCCTGAAACCCTAAACCCTACAAAACCCCTGAAACCCTACAAAACCCCTGAAACCCTACAAAATCCCTGAAACCCTAAACCCTAAACCCTACAAAACCCCTGAAACCCTAAACCCTAGAAAGCCCCCAGGGCAGCTGCGGCGGTGACAAGACTTCGACCTTCGGGGGGGCTCGCCGGTGGCTTCCGTCGGGGCTGCCCAAGGTTTGGGGATTTAAGAAATGGTTTAGGGTTTAGGGTTTTGGGTTTTGGTTCTAGGGTTTAGGGCTTAGGGCTTAGGGTTTAGGGTTGAGGGTTGTGGGGCTTCATTCTGGCTGAAGTGAGTTGTATATGTCAGGTTGGGCTGCTTTTTGGGGCTTGGGATCTGGGCTTCGAGCCTTACGGCGCTGGAAAGATCGGCCTTGGGCCTAGGAGCACTGCAGCCCTTAAGACCTGCGGAGGCTGCGATTTAGGGGTTTAGGACTTCTGTAGGGTTTGGGTTTAGGGTTTAGGGTTTAGGGTTTAGGATTTGGGGTTTAGGGTTAAGCGTTAAGGGTTAAGGGTTAAGGGTTTAGGGTTCAGGGTTCAGGGTTCAGGGTTCAGGGTTTAGGGTTTAGGGTTTATAGGGCTTAGGGCTTAGGGTTTAGGGTGTAGGGTTTAGGCTTGTAGGTAGCATAGGGCTTGAGTTGGTGTATGGCTTGGAGTATTTTGGCCCTGCCCCCCGACACCTGTAACCCCAATTTGAAATCCAAAAGCCCCAAACACCAAAAACTTCTAGAGCCTCAGCAAAAAACATCTTAAGAAAGGGCCGACAGAGCCTTTTCGGTTATCCATCTTGCAGCTACATAGGGATGATGCCTATAACGGGCTGGTATCGGTAGCTATTCAGGCTCCTGCAAGCCCTAAACCCGAAACCCTAAACCCTAAACCCTAAACCCTACACCCCTCCCCCTAACACAATGAAGAACAAGCAAAGCTGAGAGCCCCCCCCCTCCCCCCCCGAGCTGGGTATTCCCAGCCATGGGCCGCAGGCACCGATATCCCGGGGAAGTCAAAGTCCACTGGAGGAAGGCGCAACCCCGCAGCGGGATCCTGAGCCACTCTGGACGATGTGCTTTATGTGTATGTGTATGTGTATGTGTATGTGTATGTGTATGTGTTTGTATATGTATGTATGTATGTATGTGTATATATATATATATGTGCGGTAACATGTATATATATATATGTATATATATATATGCAAACATATATGTATATGCATATATATATATACATATGTATATGTGCATGTATATGTATATGCATATGCATATGTATATGTACATGTGTACTAGGGCTCATAGAACTCCTGGGGTTGACCGCATGCAAAAGGGGTTATAGGGTTTTAGGGTTGAACCCTCGACCGAGGGCCGGACGCTGCCCAGAGCAAGGCGGCCGAAGCCCAACCGCTGGTCTGACGATGCCACGGCAACCTGAATTAAGGGGAGGCGCAATTCACATGGTTTCATAGGGTTTTATAGGGCTTGTGGGCTTTACATGCTTTACAGGGTCCAGGTTTATACAGTATACAAGGTTCAGGGGACTTTATACCGTTTACAGGGTTTAGAGGGCCTTATGCTGTTTTGAAAGTCTTCGGGGTTAAGCCCTAAAGCCTAAACACCAAACCCTAAACCCTAAACTTAGGCTCACGAAAGCACAGGCGGAATGTCAAACCTCTTCAACCTGAATCCATACCTATGGTGGCACCCTTGGGTTTAGGGTTTAGGGCTTGGGGACCCTTTCAAGGATTCCTAAGGTAACATAAGGGCCACATGAAATATGGAGTATATTCAGGGTTCCTTCCTAAACCCGAAACCCTGAACCCTAAACCCTAAACCCTGTGAGTCTGCTTGGCAAGAGCTCGAAGATGGGGAGCGCTTCGGCCGATGTAGCATGCTGTAGCATCTGTAGGGTTTAGGGTTTAGGGTTTAGGATTTAGGGTTTAGGGTTTAGGGTTTAGCGTTTGGGGTTCAGGGTTTCGGGCTTCTGAACCTGTCCTGGCAAGCGTTTGGCCCTAAACCCTGAACCCTGATCCGAAAGCCCAGCCCCGAACCCCAAGGGGCCCCCTTGGGTGGAGCTAAGCGGATGGCGGCTTAGGGTCTAGGGCTTCGGGTTTGGAGTTTGGGGTTTAGGAATTAGGGTTTGGGGTTTAGGGTTCACTTACGTCTGCCTTGAACCCTAAAATCTTGTGATTCGAGCACAACCCCGAAACCCACCCAGCGGCCTCGTAGGGAGCCGTGTCTCCTTGCCTAGGCCCATGAACGGCGACGGCTTGGGGCTTAGTTCCCCTAAACCCTAAACCCTAAACCCTAAACTCTAAACCCTAAACCGACTTAGGAACTTGTTATGGCCTGGGGGTTGCGGCCACGAGTTCTTCATGCTCGGGGCTGCTTGGGGAGTCGGGCTTTGAAGTTTTATTAGGTCGCTGATGGGAAGCTTCAAGTTGGGACTTGAGGTTGGGGCTCGGAGCTTTGGAGCTAAACCCTAAACCCTAAACCCTAAACCCTAAACCCTAAACCCTAAACCCTAAACCCTAAACCCTAGACCCCAAACCCCAAACCCCAAACCCCAAACCCCAGAACTCGAACCAGGACCCCAAGCGCAAATCGACATGAAAAGGATGCCCCCGGGCCCCTGAACCTATCCTGCCTGCGCTAAGCTCGTCCGGGCTTCAGCCCATTTGGGGATGTAGAGTTGTAAGGTCTAGCCCTAAACCCTAAACCCTAAACCCTAAACCCTAAACCCTAAACCCTGAACCCTAAACCCTAAACCCTAACCCTAAACCCTAAACCGGGCTTGCGGGGGTTGAGGGTATGCGAAAAAAACGCGAGAAAAACGTGATCGGCTTCTTGGGATCTGCTCCAGAGCCCACCCCTAGACCGGAAACGCTCTTAGGGTTTAGGGTTTAGGGTTTAGGGTTTAGGGTTTAGGGGTTAGGGGTTAGGGCTTAGGGTTTAGGGTTTAGGGTTTAGGGTTTAGGGTTTAGGGTTTAGGGTTTAGGGTTTCGGGTCTAGGGTTTAGGGTTTAGGGTTTAGGGTTTAGGGTTTAGGGTTTAGGGTTTAGGGTTTAGGGTTTAGGGTTTAGGGTTCAGCCCCCCGCTTAGCCCGCCGCCTCCACACAGCGCAGCACACCGCCGCGGCACTTTTGCCGGCAGCTTGGGGCGGGAAGCTCAGCAGCGACACCTGGGGCGAGCTTTTGCGTGTTCAGGGCCTGGGTTTAGGGTTTCGGGTTTCGGGCTTAGGCTTCAGGGCTTAGGGTTTAGGGTTTAGAGTTTAGGGCTTAGGGCTTAGGGCTCAGGGCTTATTTCGAGGGGCCCCTATCTGCATCTGGCTGTTGGGATTTCGGGCATTAGGGGTTCTTTGGCGGAGGATGCTCTTGGCTAGTCTCCGCTGCCGCTATGGCTACCACTACTTGGAGGTTCATGGTACGTATTGTTTAGGGTTTAGGGTTTAGGGTTTAGGGTTTAGAGTTTAGGGTCTAGGGTTTAGGGTTTAGGGTAGGGTTTAGGGCTTAGGGTAACCAATTATAACTGTACTTATGACTGTGCTTATAACCATGTTAGGGCACTTAAGGGGCTTATAAGTGCGTTATAACTACAGTTCTAATTGCTTAATAAGCACCATGAACCTCCAAGTCCACCCTAAACCCCTAAACTGCAAGAGTTCCTTGGCTGCAGGCGATTCAGGGCCTTGTGGTTTAAGCATAAAGGTGGCTTAGGGTCCTTTGATATTCCGCCCAAGGTGCCTGGAAGGAACTGTCGTAATCTGAGGCAGCAGACGATGGGTTGAACTTAAACCTTAGACCCACCTTATACCCTGGGATGTTGCCCCCTTCTACTAGCAGTCCTTAACTATAGTACACCCAATTATCATCCCTATTAAGGAGTGGTAGTGCAAGGGGGAACATCCCAACTTACACCCCCGCCGCCCCGAACCCCGAACCCTGAACCCTAAACAATCTGACCCCTAAACAGTGTCCCCGAATCCACAAGACGGCTCGTGCCGTCAACCTCAACCACCCAAAAATCGCCGAAAAAAGCCCTGAAACCTGCCCCAAGGACCGAAAACCTTAAGCCAGTTTTCTTTCTCGTCCCCGACACCCTAAACGCCCAACCCTAACTTCCGAAACTCCTACGTCCTAAACCCTAACCCTAAACCCTAAACCCTAAACCCTAAACCCTAAACCCTAAACCCTGAACCCTAAACCCTAAACCCTAAACCCTAAACCCTAAACCCTAAACCCTAAACCCTAAACCCTGAACCCTGAACCCTGAACCCTGAACCCTGAACCCTGAACCCTAACCCCCCTGAATTCCGAAACTGAGAAAGTGGCGGGCGAAGGTCCGAGCGGTCCGTCCTCGGCGCCTCTGTGCTGGAAGCCCTGTTTGTCTACCGTGTGATCTAAGGTTATGCACACGTGCGCTATGCATATGCATACGACATATATATATATATATATATATATATACATACGTACATACATACATACATATATATATATATGTACATATATGTATGTATGTATGTATGTATGTATGTATGTATGCATGCATGCATGGATGTATGTATGTGTACATATATATATATATACACACATAGATGTAGATATAGATATAGATATACATATAGATATAGATATAGACATAGATAGACAAGTACAAGCATGAATGTAAAAAAAAACACAGACAGATGCATGCATGTGTACATGTGCATGTACAAAAGAATGAATGTACAAATGTCAAATGTATCAATGTATACATGTACAAGTGTGTATATATATACATATCTATACATGCACATCAAATTCTTCACTTTTGGTTGGGTGGGTTGCAGATGATCATTGCTGTAATCGAGCTTTTTCTGCCATCAACTGGATGAAGCTAACTGCATCTTGTTTCGGTTTAAGGTTTGTTGAACTTTGCCTCCCGCGACTACAATATTACCCGCATGTATTACGACAAAGACGGCTCTATGTCTACAGCTGTTAGTAGGACTTCATGTGCGCTTTTCCTACACGAGCGACCACACGAGACCTGCTTCTGGGTCTTGGTATGACTACCACCTCTCGGACCTTCCGAGGCGCAAGCTGGATTCTTGGGCTTTGGCTGGGCTTCCGATATCAGGCTCACTGTTTGGGTCTTGGGGAGGGCGCACGGTGCAGCAATCTGCAGGGGGGCGATTCGGCTTCAAAAGAGTCTATTGGCCGACTTGAACGGCGCCATTTGTCCTCTCTTTGCCACCAAGATGCTCCATTCCCAGATCTTCCAAAACCCCTTAATTAAGGAATGTACCCTAATTCATAGCCATGATCCTTAGTATATATTCGGGTATACTCATTGATTGAGGGGTTTTGGAAGATCTGGGTTCGTAAAAAGACGGGCCCAAAGGTCTTCTCTGGTGGGCCCGTCACAATGTTATTCAAGCCGCAAAGAGTATGCAAGAAAATGATGTGCGCCACAACGTCGTTTTTTCTCCCACATACAAAACGACAAGGACTTTCAGCGATCAGACATTCAGAAAAGACTCATCATATCTTACTCGCTTTCATTCCGAAACCCCAAACCCCCGGCCTAATGCCATGAATGGGCCATGAACCAACTGGCAACTCGCCTTCTTTCGGTATGGCTCAGCTGCAGTGAAACCCTAAGCACCCTAAGCACCCTAAGCACCCTAAACACCCTAAACACCCTAAACACCCCAAACACCCCAAACACCCTAAACACCCTAAACACCCTAAACACCCTAAACACCCTAAACACCCTAAACACCCTAAACACCCTAAACACCCTAAACACCCTAAACACCCTAAACACCCTAAACACCCTAAACACCCTAAACACCCTAAACACCTTAAACACCCTAAACCCTAAACCCATGAAGAAGGCCTAGGATGAGAGCCTAGGATCAGAGCCTCGGATCAGAGCCTAGAGGCAGCATGCTCCTTTTGCCTCAATGTGACTCACCCACTGAAACTCAAAACCCCCTTGGCACAAAAAGGGAACGAAACAACCGGCTTTCCTCGGACCGTGGCCTTTAAACCCTCAAGCGTTGAAGCCTCTAAAAAACCACAAAGCCCTGAACCCCAAACCCCCCCCCCCCCACCCTGAAGTCCTGAAGCCCAACCCCACACAACGAGCCCCAAAACCCAAAATAGCCCGATTGAACCTGAGCCGCAAAACCCAAAACACATCAACCCTAAACCCTAAACCCTAAACCCTAAACCCTAAACCCCAAGCCCTAAACCCTAAACCGGGCAGCCGGGTCTGGGTCTCCCCAGCCCCAGAGGTAGGCGCGGCAGAGCCAAAGTTGTAGCGCTTGCCTCCCCAACGATTTGGGGTTTGGGGTTTGGGGTTTGGGGTTTAGGGTTTAGGGTTTAGGGTTTAGGGTTTAGGGTTCAGGGTTTAGGGTTTAGGGTTTAGGGGGTTTTGGGGATTAGGGACTTTTCGGAGTTGGGGGGTTTTAGGCCCTATAGGTTGATTCAAGGGCTTGGAGATCTTTTGGACTTATGTCGCTTGGAGTTTGGCTATGCTCCTTAAGAAGTTATGGCATAATGGTAATGAGCCCCATTGTGTATGAGGGCCCCTATGACCCCTATGAAGAGAAGTTTGCCTGCATCATCAGGACCTGGCGACTGTTCGGGGGGGTCCGGAGAGGTTCACCGTCAGAATATTTCGAGGGGGGCGCCTTTACAATCCTAAACCCAAACCCTAAACCTAAACCCTGGGTCCCCCCTCCGCCACGGGGGGGAAGCCATTGGAGTGACTCCGTTGAAGATTCCCCAAAACATAACGGCAGTCCAAATCGGCTTCCACTCTGCGGGTGCAGGAGGAGGGGCAGGGGGCATGTCCCGCGAGGGCATACAACGACCATGCAGAATTGCAGGGACGTTGTCAGGGACCTGCTTGCTGACAAGTGATGCTTGCGACATGGTAAGCTTTCACGAAGATGAAGATGCACACAGCCGGATGCACTTTCAACATTCAGGTGGCTGGCCCATGCCACATGATCCCGAAAGCCATTCTCAAATCGACATTGCGCAGGCACGTGTGTCTGCGACACAATGGTGCGGCAATACATGTTGTGAAGCTATACGCAGTCGACCATATTCTAGGACATCGTGAGAATTGCACTAAGTGAGATCAGAATCCCTCCGTGTGACGTCAGTTCATCCTGATGCAGGCTCTTCATCCACAACGGATCGCTACCGCAGTCCAACAAATCACGAAGTGCTCGGGTGTTTGCGGGATGGAGGAACGTGGCAGGAAGGGGTTAAGGGCGGAATGGGTCGCACGGGTAAGGGAAAAACGCTTCAGGAATTACTGGGCACCATCTTGCTTCAGAGCGCAACTCACACAGCAACCATATAGTAGACTCCAGAAGGTTGGAACATGGTTTCAGGATGACTATTAGAGCTGGGATTCCCTGTGGAATGCCTTGTGGGGTATGGGGATAAGGATGTTCCAACTGTTTCGAGTTTACTCTAATCCCAAGAGGTTCCTAAGAGCCGACGTAGACCCCGGAATCCTTTCTGTCTTGAAACGTTACGCCGCTTAGTTGGAGCCCTAAGGAGCCACACTTAACTCTGAATCTTGCCCATGTGCCCATAGCCCGTCCTCAAGGGAACGCCTGCTGCGTTGGACCACGCTTCCAGCAAGACGGCGATCTGGTCCGGGCGCCGCTTTTTTGGGTCTCAACTGCTAGTAGCCACAAAGACTCTGCCTGCAAAGGTCTGCCTGCAATGACTAGGCTGTAGAACAGACCCGGTAGCCCTAAACCCTAAACCCTAAACCCTAAACCCTAAACCCTAACCCTAAACCCTAAACCCTAAACTCTTCTGTCGAAGTAGGTATTGCTTCCTAGGAACTTGCAGAGGTGCCTTTAAACCCCACCAGGAGCCTCAGGAGCCTCAGATTCGGGTTTTTGTGCTGGGTGCTGCGGGCGGCAGCAGTGGTCGTATTCCTATTTAGGGCTTAGGGTTTAGGGTTTAGGGTTTAGGGTTTTGGGTTTTGGGTTTGGGGTTTAGGATTTTGGATTTGGGGTTTGGACGAGATGTAGTAGTGGCCACAGGTCTCAGTGGGTTTAGTTGCTGTCGGGGACTTGCCCAAGGTTGCGGGGTTCTCCTGGACATTGCATCGGTCAGGGGTGTATCCCTAAACCCTCAACCATTGACCCTAAACCCTATAAACCCTAAGCCCTGAACCCTATAATCTCTAATCCCTACAAACACCCAAAACCCTGTAAACACTATAAACCCTGCTCACAACCATTAGAAACCACTAACAAACACAAAGCACCGCATAAGCTTGAGGGTGTTTCAGATTCAGAGTTTAGGGCTTGCGGCGCCTTAAACCCTAAATCCCAAGCCCTCGACCCTGAACCCCATGAACCTACTACCAACCCCAAAGAACCGTACACCCTAAGCCCTAAACCCTAAACCCTAAACCCTCAACAGGGTACTTCAGACTCAGGGGCTTCGGGGACCTCCCCGATGGGATGCCTCCTGGGGGATGCCACCAGCTGCGGCCACCACAGACCAGAGCCAAGCCTCTCTCTTATAAAGGCGCGTGGGAGGGTTAAAAATGGAGGGTTTAGGGGGGTCACCCTAAACCCTATAAACCCTAAGCCCTAAACCCGCTACCACCCTACACCCTTAACCCTGAACCCTATACACCCTACACCCTACGCCCTACGCCCTACACCCTACGCCCTACGCCCTACGCCCTACGCCCTACGCGCTTCGCCCTACGCCCCACACGCCCTACTACGCCCAACGCCCTACGCCCTCCGCCCTACGCCCTACGCACTTCGCCCTACGCCCTGCGCCCTACACCCTTCGCTACGTCCAACGCCCAACGCCCTTCACCCTACGCCCTACGCCCAACGCCCTACGCCCTACGCCCTACGCCCTACGCCCTACGCCCTACACCCTACGGGCATTGAAACATTTCTCGAGGCGCATGATTCTGGATCATTGCACAAATGTGGCCAGGCACGTATCTTTGGGGGAGCTACAAGGGCCTTAGCCTGGGCCCTGAAAATTCTAAAAACCTGACACACCTCCCCCCCCATCTACCCTAACCCGAAACCCTGAACCCTAAACCCTGAACCCTGAACCCTCAACCCCAAACCCTAAACCCCAAACCCTAAACCCTAAACCCTGAAACCCTTAAACAGCTATCACACAACTACTCATCGGCACATCGGCAGCGCGAGACAGCATGGCCCCGAGGCCCTCAAAGACGGGATCCCATGATCATGGTCATAGGAATTAGGGTTTAGGGTTTAGGGTTTAGGGTTTAGGGTTTAGGGTTTAGGGTTTAGGGCTTAGGGCTTAGGGCTTGGGGGTTTGGGGTTTGGGGTTTGGGGTGTGGGGTTTAGTGTTGAGGGTGTCCCTAAACCCTACAAACTCCCGAAACCTTCGCATCTCGTGAGCTCATGGTCAAAGCGAGGGCTTGCGAAGGGGATTGCACAACGGCCATCCCCAAACCCTTCAAGTCCCCCAAGCCCCGAACCCTAAGCCGCAAGCCCTAAGCCCTGAGCCCTAAACCCTAAACCCCAAACCCCCAAACCCCAAACCCTAAACCCTAAACCCTAAACCCTAAACCCCAAACCCTAAACCCTAAACCCTAAACCCTAAACCGGACTCAAGCCTCGGATGTGGATATGGCCACCGCCTCGCAGAAAAAACGCTGCTGGAGCCCATGCGTCCCTAAAACCCGGGTTTAGGGTTTAGGGTTTAGGGTTTAGGGTTTAGGGTTTAGGGTTTAGGGTTTAGGGTTTAGGGTTTAGGGTTCAGGGTTCAGGGTTTACGGTTTGAGGGTTGAGGGTTGAGGGTTGAGGGTTGAGGGTTGAGGGTTCCTGACACACTATACCAACCCTACTTGTCCCCAAAAAGGTCGCTGGCGGTTCAGGGTTTATGAGGTTCATGGTACTTCTTCAACAAGTATGACTGTACTCAAAAGCCACTCATAAGCCCCTTACGTGCCCTCATATGCTTATAAGTACAGGTATAAGTACAGTTATAACTTGTTTCCCTAAACCCTAAACCCTAAACCCCAAACCCTGAATACCCCCTGTCACACAGCAAAGCAAATGCGATCAATTCAGTCTTGCGGGCGGTGGCAGGGGGTGAAATGCTAGAGCAAGGGGAGTGGGGGCAATTTGATTCCCAAAGAGCTGCTGGAGCACGGCCCGATCCCTAAACCCTAAACCCTAAACCCGAAACCCTAAACCCTAAACCCTGCATTTTGCAACAGATCAGCTGGGTACAGTTCGGCCTCCTCCGCGGCACGTCTTGGCAGGCCAGATTCGCGGGTATGGTGTGTAGTCGCTTGTCAGGAATGCGGGCCCTTGTGGTACTTCTATGGCTCCCACGAAAGGGACCGCAGAAATTAAGGTGCTGCGTTTGTCTAAGGAGGCCCGATGCCCCGGGAGGATCCGACAAGTAGATCACTCCTGGAGCATGTTTAGACAGTTTAGGGTTTAGGGTGTAGGGTGTAGGGTTTAGGGTTTAGCGTTTTAAGGTTTAGGGCTTAGGGTTTAGGGTTTACTTTCAAGGCCCTCCTCAAAAAGCATTCAGGGATCGGCCCGCCAAGGCTTTCGACGCCTTCGAAGTGAGATGGAGACAACAACGAGTACCAGGACACAATCCCTTTCGGTATCTGGCCACAGGGTTTAGGGTTTAGGGTTTTAGGGTTTAGGGTTTAGGGTTTAGGGTTTAGGGTTTACGGTTTAGGGTTTAGGGTTTAGGGGTGCGCTACTGGTTCATAAAACTACCTTCTGAGGTGTCCTGGTACGCACAGCAGACTAATCGCCTCGACTGAGGACCTAAACGATGCGAACTTCGTCGCAGAACAGGCTAATGCCGATAATCAGTGTAGCTAATGGCTAAGAGAGGAAAAGATTGTGAAAGGGAGATGGTCCAAATCATACGCGAATTCTGCTACTCTAATCTCTGAACACAGGTGTCAGAAACTTCCGGGATCGGACCATAATTGGACAACTCGCCGCGCAAATTTGCGGGCGATGTGAAAACATAAGAATCTGACACAATGTGTATATATTTAGTCTAACAATCTAAAAGTAGAATTATGTCATATGGTGTGGAGCATTGTGGAGCTTAGGGAGATATAGGAATTACTCCAGCACCGGTACAGCCGGAAAGAAAGACGCAAAAACAGTCGAGTGAGCCTACGTCACTGAGTACCTCACAGCTACTAGTAACCGTCAGGGTCAGTCTTCATAGGGCTCGTTGCGGGTTTCGCGCATCACCTGCTTCAAGACTTGTTCGACCACAGCGGCCATCTGGGGATTCTGCAGCAGCTTGACAAGGCTTCCGTAAGATAGCCAAGATATGTCCAAGGGCTTGCCATTGATCTGCCTTGGCGGGCTTCCGGCTCATAGCTCCGTAGGCCCTAAACCCTCTCAACGATCACCCGGGCTCATTCCTCCCTCCCACCCTCATGATTAAGAATCCCGGATCAAAACAACAACAAAGATATGTTAGATGGTCGCTTTTTGGCTGGAGGAGGGGGAGGGTTGGAGTCTTGCGTTGTTAGGGTTGAGGTTTGGAATCTGCATGTTTGCGTCCCAAAGGCTCACAGTGATACAACGGCACATTCTCCGCAGCAATTGTCCTGGGTCATCATCTTGTCAGCTGGTACGGCAAGAATAAGGACTAGGTGGTTCCCCCACCCATGCCAATTGTGTGGGGAGGTATCAAAACCGTTCGTACCACAAAGCCGCACATTGATCCTTTACCTACTTGGTCGGTCTCGAGATTTTGCAGGAGGCTGACAAGGCTCTCGCAAGATAGCCCAGATATCTCCAAGGGCTTGTCATTGATCTGCCTTGGCAGGCTATGGCTCATGACACCGTAAGCCCTAAACGGCCCTAAACGCTCTCAAAAGCACCTACGCCGCATTGGTGGTGGCTCATGGTGTCCTCCTGGCCCCAGCTATTAAGAATCCCCTTACCAAAATCTCAAGATGCAATGCGATTTCGGTGGCGGCGGCGGGGGGGGGGGGGGGTTGAGATTGGATATTCTACACCTGCGGTGGGCAGCATTTCAACTCCAATCTTAATGACGGCGCGTTGGGCTAATTTCGTGCTGTTGGGATTTACGGTTTCGGACTGCATGTACATGCTTGCGTCCCAAAGGCTCATAGTGATACAACGGCACATTCTCCGCAGCAATTGTCCTGGGTCATCATCTTGTCTGATGGTACGACAACAATGAAGATTAGGTGGTTCCCCTAACTGAGAAACCGGCGTCTGTCGCCACCGTGGATGGTCTGTCGATGTTTATAGGATTTCGAGAAAAGATGAAGGCAGAAGTAGTGAGAACATTGCCAGCTGTGGTGAATTCGAGATGTCACGCGGGCTGTTGAAGCAAGTCGGAAACGGCGGATGTTCAATGCGAACATGCGCAGAACTAAAAGTTGGTGAAATGGGAAAAGACAAGCCGGATAATCCACGAAATGAACTTCCAGGCTTAAGTTCGGTCCCTACACGAGCACTGCAAGGATTTGAATAACGCTGTGGAGAATTGCAGGTATATTATTGTTTTGTAGGTAACCCTAAACCCTAAGCCCTAAACCCTAAACCCTACACCCTAAACCCTAAACCCTAAACCCTAAACCCTAAACCCTGTATGGTACGGCCCCTGCAATGCTGCTGTAATTCGGGATTTAGGGTTTAGGGTTTAGGGTTTAGGGATAAGGGTTTAGGGTTTAGGCTTCAGGGTTCAGGTTTTGGTGCAGGGTTTAGGGTTAGGCGCCTCTTCTGGGCGCTAGAAACAAAGGCAACTGAACCCATGTAAACGGACTCATTCAAGCCATGGTCCTGACTGAAGGCCAACACGCAGCACCAGTCACGGGGTGCAGAAAACGCCGTAAGTACGAAAGGTTTCCGAAAAGTGCATCCCGTCGACACGGACATCAAACAAGGCCAGTGGAGCTAACATGACCTCGTGGAAAATTCGGGCCTTGCGAAAACAGGCAACAAATACCGGAAATACCGTGGATTTCGCCTCTTGACTTGCACCCATGTAAACGGACACATATCAGCCGGTGCTGAAACACTGCAAACACCACAAGATTCGCGTGCTCCGCCTATAATCACCTGCCCCCCACAGCCCCCTCCCCCCCCCACCGCCCACTCCCAGTTTAGAAAAGTGACAAACCCCACGAAGCGGATACTAAAACAGTCCAAAACAACCGCGCATTGCTCATTTACCTACTTGCTCGATCTGGGGATTTTGCAGGAGGCTGACAAGGCTCTCGCAAGATAGCCCCGGTATGTCAAACGGCTTGCCATTGATCTGCCTTGGGGGGCTATGGCTCATGACACCGTAGGCTGGGGGGGAGGGGGCGGGGTTGAGACCTGTGGGTGGCCGCACTTCAACTCCAATCTCAATGATGGGGCGTTTAGTGTCATCTTGTGCCCTTAGGGCTTAGGGTTCGGGATCTGCATTCTTGCGTCCCAAAGACTCGGACTGATACATCGGCTCCTTCTCCACAGCAACTGTCCTGGGTCTATCATCTTGTTTGCTGCTGGTACGCAACTCAAAGGACCAGTTGGCTCCCCCGATGTTCCCTCTTATCCTAAACAGTCCTTAATCGGGATTCTGGTACCCCCCCTATCATAATCCCGATTAAGGACTGTTGGTATACGGGGGAACATCCCAAGCCCTTGCAAAACAACTTGCGGATTGGTCATTTACCTACTTCTCCCTTTTATTTTCTGGGAACTAAAGGAGACCCGAAGGTTGGTGGTTACTTGCTCGGCCGCTAGGTTTTTAGAGTTTAGGGTTTAGGGTTTAGGGTTTATGAAAGCTGTATGTTCTTGCCGGGATACCAATCTGGCTTTCGTGGGCCTTCTTCATGCGCGCCCGCGCCCATCGAAAAACAACGCCAGGCTAGTTCAGCCACAGAATTCTGAGAAAGGTCCGCAAGAAGGGAGATCTGCTTGAACCTGCATTGGCTCAGGGTTTTCTAGGAAGGTGCGGTGTCCAAAGCATGTTCAGTGGTTCTATACCGACCTTGGAACACTAGCTAAAATTATACTTTTAGCTTCTTCTTAGGAATTCTAGTACCCAAAAATTTATCAACTATTTAATCAATATTTTTAATTTTCGATAAAAAGTTTTTAACACCCCCTAAGGGTTGCCGTGCCTGGTCTGCCCCTGGACCCAGCTCTTCGCGTTGAGGTAGGCCTTCTCGCATCGCGGCGAGATGTAGATGTGGACATCTGTCTGCTGCTCCTGGGCTCATAGACTTGCAACCCCCCTAAAAACCCTAAGTCCTAAACCCCTTCAGAACACCGCTAAACAGGACCCCCTAAACCCTAAAGCCTAAACCCTAAACCCTAAACACTAAACCCAGGGAAAGCCTCAGACACATCCCAAGATCCGAGGCTCGAGCGGGATCCCCTCCGAGATGGGCTTCACTTCCCTCCAGTCCGCGATGAGCACGACCGACGAGTCCGACCTTCCCTCCAGCCACCTCGGGATTTAGGGTTTAGGGTTTAGGGTTGAGGGTTGAGGGTTTAGGGTTTAGGGTTTAGGGTTTAGGGTTTAGGGTTTAGGGTTTAGGGTTTAGGGTTTAGGGTTTAGGGTTTAGGGTTTAGGGTTTAGGGTTTAGGGTTTAGGGTTTAGGGTTTAGGGTTTAGGGTTTAGGGTTAGGTTTAGGGTTTAGGGTTTAGGGTTTAGGGTTTAGGGTTTAGGGTTTAGGGTTTAGGGTTTAGGGTTTAGGGTTTAGGGTTTAGGGTTTAGGGTTTAGGGTTTAGGGTTTAGGGTTTAGGGTTTAGGGTTTAGGGTTTAGGGGGTTTTCGATAACAAGGGACCCCGAATATAGACCCCCAAGTAGCAGGACCCCCCTTGTTGGACCCCAATAAGGCTAAACCCTAAACCCTAAACCCTAAACCCTAAACCCTAATATCGTAGACCCCCACGTGACTACCATGCGATAGGATGGGATGCTCCCAACTCTCTGGTCTTTGGTTCCCCGGATCTTAGCCAAAGAAATGGGTTTGGGGTTTGGGGTTTGGGGTTTGGGGTTTGGGGTTTGGGGTTGAGGGTTTAGGGTTTAGGGTTTAGGGTTTAGGGTTTAGGGTTTAGGGTGTAGGGTTTAGGGTTAGGGTTTAGGGCCCGACATCCCAACGAAGAGCTGGGTCAACCAAGAAAACGTCAGCAAGCCAGCTCCAACTTCTTGAGGGCGGGGCGAATAGGAACAGAAGAAGCGCCGGGATAAGGCCCAAAACAACACCAGTCCCATCACAGCGAAAGGAAGCAAGCGAGAAAACAAGGGGAAGGCCTTCAGCAGGCCAGGCATTGGGTTTCGGGGTTTACGGGCTCAAGGATCACCAGAATCAGCCCCCAAGAACTCGCGCTGTCAACGCCCGCCCGCGCCTGAGGAAGGTCGCCGCTTTCTTGCAGAAGAAGCACTTCCAGCCATAGCTCTCAGCGATGCCCCGCAGCATAACCTGGGTTCCCAGTAGCCTAAGGACATGAAGGCCGCCCATGTTTGCCTATTGTGGTTTATAGGGGATCCTAGACCCTAAACCCTAAACCCAAACCCTAAACCCTAAACCCTAAACCCTAAACCCTAAACCCTAAACCCTAAACCCTAAACCCTAAACCCTGAACCCTGCCGAAAACGAAATAAGGGTACTACCCCGGGCATCCTGGGAGCACGCTGCTCGTGAGTATCTTGCTTCATGGCGCCCTCGAAGCACCAGACAAGAACTGTGTTCGCCAGCAGCTGCGACTTTGGCGAGGTGACAGCCCGTTCCTAGACCCGGGAGTAACCTAGGAATAAAAAAAAGAAGTACCCTTTTTTGGGTTTGAAGGGGATTCTAAGGGAACCACAACCCTAAAAGATAAGGAAAAAAGGACCTACTCCCGGTCCGAGACGCATGTCCAGCTTCCATGGCGGGTGAGGACCCAAGTTCCCTAAGGCCCTAGCGTTTGTCCGCCTTTCACAACCGCCGAGACCCCAAGGTTGTTGGAGTCTCAGCCAGGACGCTCGAGAAGGGAAAAGCACGGTGTAGGGTTTAGGGTTCAGGGGTTAGGGGTCAGGGGCTTAGGGGGTTCAAGGTTTAGGGTTCGAGTTTTCGGGCTTAGACCTGAATACTGCCCACAATGAAGTGGCAAACCACGAAAGCTTTAGTGTCTCTTTTGAGCGTTTACGTCCCCAAACCTCAAAACCAACCCTGACCCCAAATCCTAAACCCATGCCTCCTAAAGCCCAATCCCAATCCCCAATCCCAACAACCGGCTTCCGCAAGCACCAAAGCCAGCGAAAAGAGATTTATCACTTCGATCATCCCCACCCTATCCCAAAGTGCATAATTTGCTGGGCCGGCACATTCCACTAACACTAGCAGCTCCTTGCAGCTTCGCCCTGTCTTGCGTCACAAGACAACAAGCTCAGCCCACTTTTTCGTGGATGGAAGCCTAGATTCAACTTGTCTTTGCAGCATGACATGATATTGGCCCAGCACTGCCTTCCCATTGGCTAAGGGATAAGGCCTAAGGGTACGGAGGAATGCGTCTACGATGCTATAAGCCCTAAGGGCTTGGGGCGAAGGGATACACTCCGATGCCTAAGACAGAGATGGTTCTCGAGGCGAGATTTTTCTGGAGACAGTTTGAATGGCACTGAACCCACAGAACCCTCAACTGCAAAGATAACTTGGGAGAGGCGCCCTGAACCCCGGAACCCCCAAGCACCCGAACCCTACCCTGTGACCCTAAACCCTAAACCCTAAACCCTAACCCCTGAGTCCTCACTGCACTGGGGCTCCACACCCAGCAGTTGCAGGTCGAGGCCATTGCGCACACCTCCACTGGAGATTGCAAGGGATTTAGGGTTTAGGGTTTAGGGTTTAGGGTTTTGGGCTAGGGTTTAGGGTTTAGGGTTTAGGGTCCTAAACTTAAACTTTTGCACCACGCGCGGATACACTTAACTCTGGTTCCTCAGTGCCTAAGGCCACTTTGAGGCGAAGAGCAAGTGAATGAAGGGTTCCATCCCAAAATACGACCTCATGCTCACGGTGTTCACATTGCATGCGTGCCAAAAGTGAGAGAAATACACGGTTTTTGGTGGCTTGGTTGTTACGGGTGTTTGGGTGAATGCGTGAGATCCATAATCATCACATTGTAGCTACACCAAAACCCCCCTTCACAATTAGTCCAGAATAAAAACGTGAATCATAATCTTGTATGTCGCAATGAATGTGCTTGTGAGGACTTTGTTCTTGTTAATGGTGGTTCCTCGTGAGTCCAACGAACAGTCTTTGGGGGAATCTTGCAGGTTGTAAAGAAAGATCACGCACCTGAATTTCCAATCACAACCAATCCACTAAACATGAATGGAAAAGATGTTGTTCGCCCCCTACTGAATATGCGGACGAGTGAAGGAAATAACAGTACTCGCCGGTGAACGAAGGGAACAATAGCCCGCGTGAAAAGATAGTTAGTACTATCCCTAAACCCTAAACCCGAAACCCGAAACCCTAAACCCTAAACTACCACTGGGCAGCCGTGGTGGGGTGGAGGCTCGAGAGGTTTAGGGTTTTGGGTAGGGTTTTAGGTTTAGGGTTTGGGGGTTTGGGGTTTGGGGGGTTTAGGGCTTTGGGGTTGAGGATTTAGGGTTTAAGGTTTTGGGGTTTAGGGTTTAAGGGTTTGGGGTTAGGGGCTTCGGGTTTAGGTTTTGGGGTTTTGGGGTTTATTTTCTGGGGTTTATGGTTTAGGGTTTAGGGCTTTGGGGTGTAGTGTTTAGGTTTAGAGGTGGTGGTTTTTGGGTTTAGGGTTCAGGGACGTTCAGGGTTTAGGGTCGAGGGGCTTGGGGTTTCGGGTTGTTGGGGTCTTGAGAGGTTTTCAGGCTTTAAGGTTCCCTCAAATCTAGGGCTTAGGTTTAGGAACCCTAAGCCCTGAAAGCTCGGAACCCCCTGCGCGACATCGCCTCAGCTGGACCCAGGAGTGTGGACGCCTGCAGCAGGACCTGGGTTCGGGGTTCGGGGTCTTGGGGTTTCGGGCTTAGAGGCTTTTAGGGGTTTGGGAGTTCAGGGTTTAGGGGTTTAGGGTTTAGAGTTTACGGTCCGGAGGGGTTTTGGTTTGGAGGGTTTTCGGGCTTGGGCTGAAAGGGCTGGGGCTTCAGCGCTGAAGGGTTTTTGGGGGCTTGGGGAACCCGACACCCTTAGCCGAAACCCTAAACCCTAAACCCTAAACCCTAAACCCTAAACCCTAAACCCTAAACCCTAAACCCCCACATCCATCCAAGACCGCGGGCCACGTCTGGCAAGCTTGCGCCAGAGCTGGGAAGCGGCTCAAGCAGAACAGGCCTGGCGGCAAAGACGTTGATGCGCGAGGGGACAGACGCTTTAAGGCTTCAAAGCTGCTGGGAGGTTCATGGTACTTATGAACCAGCTGTAACTGTATGTAATAACCCACGTATAAGCCCCTTAAGTGCCCTAACATGGTTAGAAGTACCATTATAAGTACAGTTCTAAGTACAGCTATAACTGGTCAAGAAGTACCATGAACCTCCAAGTAGAGACTAGGGGACGCCGTCGCACTCACGAGTCTCTCGCATTTTGTCGTCGAAATGGCCAAACGCTGCTTCGAGGGCATCCAACGCAACATCGGCAAAGAGCCCCGATGCCACCACATGCGCGATTAGCCAAGACTGAAACCAACATCTACATGATACGGGGGTTTACGATAATAAGGGTACCCTCCCAGGGGTCCATTTTAAAGGGGAATTCTACTATATTTTGGGGGGGGAAAGAGGGGTACCTCTATTTTCGCAAACCCCCATATGGGGCCATGTAAACCCTAAACCCGCTACAGCTCGCTCTCACTTGTTTAGCAAAGGCGGTCTGGGCGGCCCACCGCACTTATTAACCCATTATGGCTGCACTAAGGGGTCTAGGGTTGAGGACTAGGGTTAGGGGTACTTGTTAACCAAGTATAGCTGTACTGATAGCTGTACTTGGGTTGTAAGTACAGTGTTAGTTGGTCAGTAAGTAGGGACCTCCAAGTAAACCTTTCAGAAGCTTGTGGGCTCGAAGGGTTTAGGGTTGGGGCCTGGCACGGCCTTTTCCTGCACAGGCCCACTCATTCTGATTCCTACAGTCGAAGCACCAAGACCTAAACCCTAAGCCCTAAACCCTAAACCCTGAACCCTAAGCCCTAAGCCCTAAGCCCTAAACCCTAAACCCTAAACCCTAAGCCCTAAACCCTAAACCCTAAACCCTAAACCCTAAGCCCTAAACCCTAAACCCTAAGCCCTAAATCCTAAACCCTAAGCCCTAAACCCTAAACCCTAAACCCCTCAGCAAATTTAAAGCCCTGGACTCCAGACCTCGAAGCGCTACTGGCGAAGCTCCTTACGTTGCTCTTAACTCTACTATTTGCTTAAGAACCCCCCCCCCCAAAAAAAAAAAAAAACACAATCAATATATATATATATATATTTGATATGTATATTCATATCTATATTGATGTATTGATTTATTTATTTCAAAGTAGTCCCTATATCCCCCTTGTGAGGAAGAATACTCTCTTTTTTTGGGGGGTGGTGTGCTTAAGCAATTCCTAGAACTGCTTCCCGAACTTCCTGGAGGCTCTCCGCCGATGCCCGGACGATCGTGGCTTTACGGACGTGCAAGCTCGAGAAGCTTTGGCATGGGGGCGCCATGGTTTAGGGTTTAGGGTTTAGGGTTCAGGGTTTAGGGGTTTAGGGGTTTAGGGGTTTAGGGGTTTAGGGGTTTAGGGGTTTAGGGGTTTAGGGGTTTAGGGTTTAGGGTTTAGGGTTTAGGGTGGGTTTAGGGTTTAGGGTTTAGGTTTAGGGTTTAGGGTTTAGGGTTTAGGGTTTAGGGTTAGGGTTTTTAGGGTTTAGGGTTTAGGGTTTAGGGTTTAGGGTTTAGGGGTAGGGTTTAGGGTTTAGGGTTTAGGGTTTAGGGTTTAGGGTTTTTAGGGTTTAGGGTTTAGGGTTTAGGGTTTAGGGTTTAGGGTTTAGGGTTTAGGGTTTAGGGTTTAGGGTTTAGGGTTTAGGGTTTAGGGTTTAGAAGAGTTTAGGGTGTGCCTGTGGCCCAAGGTGCCACCATGTGAAGTAGGGTGTATATTTCTTGTACCCCCCAGAGCCCCCGCCCTAAACCCTAAACCCTACTTCACGTCAACCCCCCAAACCCTGATTCAAAAACATGAACGTTGGAGGCGGCCACGACCGGTTAAGGTCTCCAAGGGCTTCGGTTCAAGCCTAAACCCCATGAACCCTAAACCCCTAAACCCCATGAACCCTAAGCCCTAAACCCTAAACCCTAAACCCTAGCCCTAAACCCTAAACCCCATGACCCTAAACACCGAGGATTTGGGGAAGAGGGGGGGGGGGTTTAAGCTTCTGGGGTTTAGGGTGTAGGGTTGAGGGTTTAGGGTTGAGGGCGGTCTCTCAGGGCTCATACAGGACTCTTAGGGTGTACGGTCGGATTGTTAGGGACTCTTTGGGGGAGGCTTTGCGCGAGTGCGGGCTTGAGGGTTTAGGGTTTGGGAGGGGACGGTACTGAGCGCTTGTCTGTTTATATTTTTTTACATTCTTTGAAGTTTAATCCTCACACAGGAATGTCACTTGATGACATAGAAGACGAGATACCTTGGCTGATTCACAATCTGTCGGCTGCATATGCACTCCAATTATACGTGACTCACATCATTATACTCCTGGTATACGCGCTTCACACACAGCCACATGTCTTTTCCCCGTCCCGATCGCGCCGTGCGATGTGTTCGCATGTGTCTCCTAACGCCTTACGGCTTTGCGGAGGGCTTCTTGCGAGCTACCTTTACCTTTGCGGCAGGTTTCTTCGCTACAGCCTTGGCGGCGGGCTTCTTGTGAAGCAAGCGACTACGTGCTTTGACGTTGGTTCTACGGGAAATGTGGACGGGTACGTCACGAAGATGCTCATTGTAGAAGAGGATCGCTTCACGTATCCAAAAGCGGCGCGAATGAGGACGAAGCCCATTGGCGAAGAAGTTGAGCGTCCGGATCCAGGCGTTGAAGGACTCTGCCACATTGGTACGGACTGTGCTGCAGCGACGCTGTTCCTTCTTTGTCCACGTTCTTTTCTCGCACCGGTGATTTGGCGCATGGAAGACGTCGACGACCCAATATTTGATGTCCTTGAAGTGACCGGCCTTATCGTGCTTCTGCACGTAGCTTTGGAAATGACAGGCATCGTCGTGTATGAGAAGGTCCGGCTCAACACGAGGCATCTCCATCACCTTTGCGAGCAGGCATTTTGTCATCGTGGTTCTCATTGGCTACATGTTCGATGGCACCCAAGACTCTGCGGCTATCCGGGTCTAAGGCAAATTGCCACCCGCCAGTTCGTTGTGGCAAAGCCAACCGCTTGGTATCCTTGCGCTTACATGAGCACGATCTCTCGTCCTCATGCACTCGCTTGCGGGGATGACCCGCCTTGGGCACCACACGCTCGGGATCACATCCTGGAACGAGTGGACGATGTAAGCCAAAGTGCCCGTCGAATGCAATGGCACCTACGTTGTGTGTTGGCGGGAAGAGCATAAGTTCACGAAGTCGCACGGCGTGCTTGGCCGGGTAATCAAGGTTGAAGGGGATCACTTCACTGGGAGTTTTCCTTGCCAAGGCCCATGCCTCAAGTGCTCGAAGTAAGTAGTCTCTCATAGTTGCCCTCCTGTTGAACATGAGATCATTGTCGGCATGAAAGATCTCGAGTACTGCCGCCTCTTGTCCCGGCGCATTCTTAGCCCGTAACAGTCGAAGGTACGTCAAGTGTAGGTACGGCATGGAGAAAGCCGTGTAGTAGTTCACGAACAGCACGCCACTCTGTTCCATGTCTTCGAAAGACATGCAATTGATGTGCTCGCCTTGCAAGTACATGATGTTATGGCGAACAGTTGTCCTACACCTGTTGCAGCATTTGCGAACCGACTTGACGTCCTCGATTGTTTCTGGAACCGATGAGGATGGCGTCGCACGTTTCTGTAGCTCTCTCGTAGAGGGCTTTGTCACAAGCCGGACACTTCCAATGGGGATACTTGTACGAAGCCATGTCAACTAAAGTGCTTATAAGCATACTGTGCACAACGAGAGCAGCAACTGGCTCACATGAAACGTTTTTTTTTCGTGGGCTGTCCTATGTGGCTCAGTCCTTCTGAGTGGACCGCCTTCTGCGGTTTGCTCACGGAATCACTAGACAAAGATCATACTCAAAACTCTAGTGTTCTTTCCCCTCAGTCACCGCCATTCGTGTAGGAGTCAAGGTTCATCTACGTCTGCGAGTGAAGATCCCGCGCCGCCTCCTCATCTGGATCAGGACTTTGTGGATCTTCTTCTGACTGAGTTTTCTGCTGCTTCTGTGGAGGAGAGTGGATTTGGGGGCTTCTCGCTGAAGCTTCGGCACTGGACCGACGTGGAGGAGTTGAAGGCATAGGTATGGATTCGGCAACCGTCTCATTCTCAAAGTCCAGGTGCCATGAGTCATACGTTGCACCTCGCCTCATGTACTCTTTCTCCTCGGGGGATGCCAACAGCTCGTGCATGAGGTCCTGCTCCTTGTTCAAGCTATCTTCAAAGCTGGGGTACTTGATGCAACGCCCCTCCTTGTAGTGGCTGTAGTAAGATTTGTTGTCACCACGAAGCCAACCTTCGGTGATGCCACCTTCCTGGAAGCGATGGATGCGCTCAGATTGATGCTCGCTGGCTAAGCGAACGTATACGGCTTTGTGGCCGGCAATCACCACGGTACCTCTCTTGAGGATTGCCATCAGGTGCGGCATGGGGGCTTCATTCATGGCAGAGTGGAACATGTCCTTGAAGTGCTGCCAGCCGATGTGGTCATAGAAGGGTAGGTCAGGCTCCTTGTCGGGGTTCCATTCATTGTTTAGCAGAATCCTTACCTGATTCCTCTCAAACTTTGCGGCTCTGTAGCGAGCGTCTACCAGGGTCGTTTCCCCGACATCCAGGAATGACTTGATGTCTTCGAGACTCATAGACGGCAAGATGGGATCGTCTAGGAGCACAGGGACGGAAATCTCTCCTGGTCGGTCTCGAAACCCATCGATTTGCTTGGAGCGCCTCCATCCCACCATTGCGTCCGTGAGATTTCGTGAGGACAGCGTGTACCTGGTGACGGCGAGGGACAACACGATGGCGAGAGGTGTTTTTCCAATGCCAGGACGACCTAGGAGAAGCAACCCATGCGTGCGCATGGTCGGCACGATCAGAGGCAAGATCTTATTCACAAACTCGTGATTGAGGTCTGTCACGAGGAGCGGGAAGAAATACTCAGGTTCAGCTTGAGAGTTGCCCGTAGACCGATTCCGGCATGCTGTGTTGACGACGTGCATAGGCCAGCAGTATATTGGTGAGTCCTTGTCACGCACGTTCAGCAAAGCCCACAAGAACTGTTCGTTCTTCCCATTGGATAGGGGCGACTGCGAGTTGATGAAGTCTATCCCCTCCTTGAGCTTCTCGGCACTTGGCTCCCATGAGGATCCATCCTTATCCGAAGGGTCCTTGGTGGGACGCTTCAGTTTCTCCCCCAAAGACTGTGTCAGCCACTGATCACCGGCAATGTTGGATAGCATCACCATGAAAGCGCACTTCACAAGATCAGAGTTGCTTGCAATCTTGTAGTTGAGCAACATAGTCTTGTCCCGGCAAAACACTCTGACGACACCCCATGGCAGGGAGATGTTGGAGTGAAAAAAGTTCAGCACGGAGTTGCTGGACGAGTCAATGACCATTTGCAGAGCGCACGCTTCACCTAGCTCACCTCCGGGACGTACACTGTCAGGTAGATCGCCTATTTTGGTAGGATCCTCAGTCATGACTTTGCGAATGCGCTCTTGATCGTCCGGAGTCACGTCGGTGATGATGCTGAAGAATTCTTTGAATTTTTTTCCCTTGCCATGTATCTCCACCAACGGCAGATCCGAAAGAGTGTACTTGCCCTCCTCTATCTTCTTGTGGACATGCTTGGAGCCGAACTTCACGTACATCCCCTGGGCCTGTGCGATGCAGTCCTGCACGACGAACTACCAGACGCGAGAAAGGAAGCGATATCTACTTCTTCACCTTGACGATGACGCAAGACGCAAGGACGCAAGTGCATGAGTTGCATAGAACAAAACTCACTTCAAGATGCACCACATGCTTATAAGCGTGCAAGCTGCTTATAAGCACTTTGTTTTCTCAAGCGGTGATGGGAAGACGCATTCAAATTGCCACTCTGACTCAGTTTCACTAAGCCTTATCCCACTGCTTCTTTGCAGTGCGAATGTGCTTTAGCATGTTCTTGACGACACGAGTCTTTGCACGGGAAGTGTCAGCCTGCGGTGCAAGTGAGACGACGCTTTGCCAGGCATCGTGCCACTCAGTCGTCCACTGAGATGTATCCACCTCACTCATGGAAGAGGTAGAGGAAGATGAACTCGAACTGGATGAACTCTCCTTGTCATCGGAACCGTCACTCTCACGGTCAGCAGCCTGCTTGTTCGTCGCATCTGATGACTCTGTTGGTGGGACGACATTCTCCTCGACAAAGGGAGCGCTGACAACTGGGTTCTCTGCATCTTGAAGTGGAGTGGCATCAGCTATGGCCAACACCTTTGAAGAGGCTACGCTCTTCTCGACATGGGGAGTGCTGAGACCTGGGTTTTCTGCATTCTGACGTGGAGCAGCATCGGCTATGGCTAACACCGGCTGCTTGGCTTTGGAGCCACGTTTTGGAGCTGCTAGCCATTTGCGAAGGGCTTCTTCGGCACGTGGATCCCAGCCGCCTTGAGGTCCTGTTTGTAGCTGGAACTTGCCTTGGAGGTAGCACAAGTGGGAAAGCAACTGGCGCGCGGTGAGGTCCTGTTTGGTCGGGTGTGTAGCGAACGTGCTGTCCTGGATCTTGGCGAGTACATCTGAAACCATAGGCACACTCATGGTACCGGGTGAGGCTGCACGAGTCGGCATATCCGAAGCTGAGCTAGGTTGCCCATCACTGCCGTGGACACTCAAGTTTGTCACTTCTAAGCGACATACTCCGTTCTCCACATGCATAAACCCTGCCACTGCAGCCATTCGTTTCATGGCGTAACAAGGAAGGTGGTTAACTACGACTACACGAGACGCTAAGAAAACCGAAATCCCTGCAGCAGTACGACTGGAATGGCCCATCACTGCCGTGGTCACTCAAATTTGTCACTTCTAAGTGACATACTCCGTTCTCCACATGCATAAACCCTGCCACTGCAGCCATTCGTTTCATGGCGTAAGAAGGAAGGTGTTTACTGTTACTACACACACACACACACACACACACTATTGCTGCCGAGGTGCATTCATACATCATGTTGCTGCCGAGGTGCATCCTTTTTTAAACATAGATATCTGAGACATAAGGGAGTATATGGGGGTATAGGGAGTAAACTTATTTGGACGCAATTGAGGCACCTATATACCGTACATCTTCAGCTACATACTGCTTATAAGCAGCATACTTGCTTATAAGCATCCTTTGATAGTATATATACCCATGTAACATACAATAACATAACCCTCGTCGCATAGCGGGTGCAGCTCCTTTGGGCAGAGCTCTCATGGGTAAAGCTCTTAGGGGCGAAGCCCCTATGGGCAGCATTCGTCTGCTGCCCCTAATAGGAACATTTTGGTTATCGGACATGGCTGGCCGCGTTCAGACTCGAGCTTTAACAGCCCTAGTACTATCTTAGTCCTTATATACAGAACATATAACCTGTAACCCTGACATGTTTGCATCTAACTTAATATAGGTAGGTCCTGAGCATTTCATTATATACTGCGGTAGGGCTATACGTAGCCTCGTGAGGTACAGGGGGCCTAGGGGACTTAGAGATTCAGCCACAGGCAGTCGGTGAGGAGAATGTGCGCCTCACCACGGCTGAGTTCTTTGTGTTCTTTTTGTTGGGGGGGTGGGGGGGGTGGGGGGGGGGGGGGGGGTGGGGGGGGGTGGGGGGGGGGGGGGGTGGGCTGGGGGGTGGGCCGGGGGGGGGGGGGGGGGGGGGGGGGTGGGGGGGGGGGGGGGTGGGGGGGGGGGGGGGTAGTCTTGGCTATGTTGGAGAACCCCCCCCCCCTCCCCCCCTGCCTGCATAGCATACTTCCACTGCAATTGTTTTAAGAAAACCTAATGCTTATAAGCAAACATGAAATCAGTCACACCGGAAATAAAAGTAAAATTACTACATCATTGTGAATAGTACGACAAGATAAGTAGAAGAACATTAGGCTTTAAGTGGATGGTACAAAGCGCTTGTTTGTACGTAAGAAAACTACGCAAGTACTAATGCCAACCCATACTTGTATAGAAATACAAAACAAAACAAGCGCTCAGTACCGTCCTTTCTGTAGGGTTTAGGGGTTTAGGGTTTAGGGCTTAGGGTTTAGGGTTTAGGGTTTAGGGTTTCGGGCTTAGGGTTTAGGGTTTAGGGCTTAGGGTTTAGGGTTTAGGGTTTAGGGCTTAGGGTTTAGGGTTTAGGGTTTAGGGCTTAGGGTTTAGGGTTTAGGGTTTAGGGTTTAGGGCGTTGCATGGCGGCCCAGGAGCCAGGAAAACTGAATCGGCTCCTTCGCCGCCGGAAACGGCAGTTTCGGGACACTGCCAGGCTTGGGCCTTCAGGGCTCTCTGCCCTAAAGCCTATAGAACCCTAGACCCTAAACCCTAAACCCTAAGCCCTAAACCCTAAACCCTAAACCCCTCAACCCTAAACCCTAAATCCCAAGCCCAGATTCGTGCACGTCACATCGCAGCTTCTCCGGGCGCATGGGGAGACGCCCCGCACAAGCTGCTGGGCCCTCCTCCTGGATGTCTTATTCATTATCTTGTTTTCCTTTCAAAAGTCTTTCTAATTCTTTTTCTTTCTTATTTCATCATAACTTTATTCATTATTTAAATTCGTATTATTATCATGTTTTACTATTAGAACAGAAATACGATAATAAGATTACAAATGAAATAAACGAGCGCAGTGAGTGCGTTCATTTGCCCATTTACAATTCTTAGTTTTAATATCGTGCATCAAGAAAGCCTCAATGATATGTAATTCTTGGGCAAATATGCTATATTAATAGGGCCTTTGTGTCAGTACTCTCAGGGGCATTTTGGCCCGAAGGCCGACAGGGCTTAGGGTTTAGGGTTTAGGGTTTAGGGTTTAGGGTTTAGGCTTTAGGCTTTAGGCTTTAGGCTTTAGGTTTTAGGCTTTAGGCTTTAGGCTTTAGGCTTTAGGCTTTAGGCTTTAGGCTTTAGGCTTTAGGCTTTAGGCTTTAGGCTTTAGGGTTTAGGGTTTAGGGTTTAGGGTTGAGAGTTTAGGGTTTAGGGTTTAGGGTTTAGGGTTTAGGGTTTAGGGCTTAGGGTTTAGGGTTTAGGGCTTTGGGTCCTTAGGGTTTAGGATTTAAGGTTTAGAGTTTAGGGTTTAGGGTTTAGGTTGTAGGTTTTAGGGTGGAAGGTACGAACATAACCCATTTTTGGGCGCTGTAAGCCGTAGACCCTAAAGACAAAACGTCGTGAAAACCTTCACCTGCGCCCGGAAGCACGTGCAGCACGAGCCAGTCATAATGGCAAAATCTCAGCGAAGGACCGAACTCCAGCTCCCAGTTCCTCTACTTAGGGTTGAGGGCTCAAAAACTAGCACTCGGGCTGAGGTTTTAGGGTGCATCTAGGGTGCGAGCCCATCAGGAGTCCGCTGCGAGTACTGACAGACTCGTTTCCCGAATCATGGGAGCGGGGTTGGGGGCGGGGGGCAAGATCCCTAAACCCTCCCGTGCTCGAGCATAAGCTTCCTAGGTTGAAAGCTTCATATTTCGCAGGGGACAAAGAAAGGCAACCTTATGGTGAAAGACCGACATGCAGGGAGTGGAATAGGGTCCGACGACAGGCACGGCGCGTGGAAAACGAGCGCAAGCTGCTGGAAAGCATTCTGCTTGGCTTGGAGTGAGACACGCTGGCTTCGACACAAACCTGCATGTTAGGGCAAATTGAGGGCAAGCAGGTGAATCTCTGACTAGCCCGAGCAACATCGCACACCTGAACTCGAAACCCTGAGCCCCCAATGTCACATTCTGAGGCTTCCTGCACTACATCTGCCGCACGAAAAAGCCGCCCACTGGGAACTTCAAATAAATCGGAGACCCTAAACCCTAAACCCTAAACCCTAAGGCCCTAAAAAGGGGTGCCTCCATGCACTGGGCAGGTCTCTTCGCAGCCTTATGAAAACTGCACGCGGCCTCTGCTCCACCCTAAACCCTAAACCCTAAACCCTAAACCCTAAACTCTAAACCCTAAACCTAAACCCTAAACTTCAAACCCAAAATGCAGGTCCGGGTCGATTGCGGGAGATTTTCAGGCAGCAAGCTGCGTGGCGCGTGCTCCTGTGGCAGGGCACGAACTTGAGAGCTTTGACGAGTTCAGGTTTTGGCTCTACGGTGGAACAGGTTTAGGGTTTAGGGTTTAGGGTTTAGGGTTTAGGGTTTAGGGTTTAGGGTTTAGGGCTTAGGGTTTAGGGTTTAGGGTTTAGGGATTAGGGTTTAGGGCTTAGGGTGAAGGTTTCGGGGGACTCCGGAGAGTTTAAGGGGCTCATGGCTTCGGGTTAACCGTTTGAATGCTCGGGTTCACCGGTCTGAGTTATGATGCTAGGGCTTCACGCATTGGGTTTAGGGTTTAGGGTTTAGGGTTTAGGGTTTAGGGTTTAGGGTTTAGGGTTTAGGGTTTAGGGTTTAGGGTTTAGGGTTTAGGGTTTAGGGTTTACGGGTTAGGGTTTAGGGTTTAGGGTTTAGGGTTTAGGGTTTAGGGTTTAGGGTTTAGGGTTTAGGGTTTAGGGTTTAGGGTTTAGGGTTTAGGGTTTAGGCTGCGAGTTTCTCCTTTCGAAGCGCCAAGACAAGCGATGAAGGCTGCCTGTCCCGCGAGATCGTCTCCCGATACGAAGGATGCAACGAATATTGCTAACTAGCCTCCCCAAAACCCTAAACCCTAAACCCTAAACCCTAAACCCCAAACCCCAAACCCTAAACCCGAACTAAACCCTTATGGCTTCGGCAGTTTGGACCCACGTCATTCTATCAGTTCGCATCAAGCATTGGGTCACCCGAAGCTGCCGACGCAGGCTGTCTCACTCTCGGTCACTCTCCCAAGATCTCGCTCCTAAGTTTAGGGCTTAGGATTTAGGGTTTAGGGTGTTTAGGGTTTAGGGCTTAGGGCTTAGGGATTAGGGTTTAGGGTTTAGGGTTTAGGGTTTAGGGTTTAGCAGCCAGAGACCCAAAAATTTCGAGACCATCTCCCCCGCCTCAGTGTGGGATCAGCTTGTGCCGCGTTTGCTGATACATCTGCCACCTGCTTGGGCCAGGTCGGATTCAGGTGCTTAGGGTGGGGCTTCAGGGTTTAGGGGCAAAGCCCCACACTAAGCCCAAAGCGGAATATGTGTGGCAGGGGGGGAGACTATGGCAAGATCTGCGATGAGCTTGGGTCGGTGAGCTCAACCCTGAAAAGGAACATGGCCACCCAAGACATGAAGCTAGTACACAAATTTTGGGGCGCTGAGAGAAAGGGGACCTCAACTGGACAGATCTCCAAACATCTACACGTACATGTACATCTACGTATATACATGCACGTACACATGTACGGACACATGTATATACATGTGCATATACATGCTATGCATGTACATATCTGCATGTGTAGATAGATCGACACAATTGAACTAGCAGAAAGCCTCAGCTTTGGTGCAGTTGTAGGATTCGGGGGCTCTGACCTTGGGCGCGGGGATTCGAAACAGTAAGCCCCAACCACAGGGACCCCTGCCCTAAACCGAAACCCACATAAACTCCTAAACCATAAGCCCCTGAGCCCTAAACCCTAAACCCTCTAAACCCAAAAAACCCTAAAAACCCTAAAAACCCTAAAACCCTAAAAACCCTAAAAACCCTAAAAACCCTAAAAACCCTAAAAACCCTAAAAACCCTAAAAACCCTAAAAACCCTAAACCCTAAACCTCGACCTGCTCCCAGCCCACGCGCCTGTGCTGAGCTAGTCCTTGCCACTTCTTCAGCTCGGCCGGCTTATA